TTGGTCAAAGAAAGTCAAGCGTAGGACAGCGGCATGACAGTGCTGCTTTACGTCAACTCCATTTCTTGTGTCAAAGAAAGTACTCGGCCTTCTCCTTGATTAAATGATTGAAAGGTATAAGTACAGTGAGCCCCACTCCTATCAGGGGAGGCACCCTTGAGCACTATTTCACACATAACTCTGTGTGCATTTCATTAACAAAACTTATTTTTTTTAAATTGTATTACGCTATGTATGCTTTTTGTTTGTTTTAGATTTACAGCCGTATCCCAAACGTTTCTGGTTGTTCTATATTCTTGCTGTGTAAAGGTCACTCATTCTGGGTAGTGACCTGGGAGGCTGTCACTTTTGAATTTTAAAGATAAGTATTTTCACTTTCTCATGCACATTAAGTGTTTACACATTGTTTGTATTCTATAAGGGATGACTGAATAACAAATAAATGCAAATTGTGTAAAGTGACATCTTTTTAAATTTTTAATTTGTATGAAAGGCAATCTGCAAACAAAATTGCTGTTTTGGTATATGTTTATAGTATAGTTAAATTGACAAATTAAGTTATGGTGCCAGGAGGCCCCCTGCGCACTCTTACCTCAAGGTATTAAACCATTCTCAAACGTTTAAACCCCAAAGTTGCCTCTAGTGCCTATCTCAATTACCTACAGGCAGTACAAGGTCAAGCCAGTTTTGTTAAGGGAGAGTCACTGATTGGTTGAGAGCGTCAGCTGACCTCAGTCAATCAGCAGTGCTTCTGCCCACCGCCAATTCTGAAAGTGGAATTTCAGAAGCCAGTTGCCCCCTGGGGGTGCAGAGATCGGTACTGGAGGCAATTTGGGGGTTAAACCATTCAGGAATGGTTTAACCCCTTGAGACAAGAGTGCACCAGCGCATGAAATATTCCTTTAAACATTTAGTTTGTTTACATGCATCCCTTGTTTCAAACAAAGGTCACCCTAACAGCTTTTCAAACTTTTTCTCTTTATCTTTCTTTGAGGAAAAAAAATTAATATTTAAATTTTATTGTAATTAAAAAATAAATAATGCTTCGTCTACATAACCCATTAAAAAAATAGCAGGTTATCTTATTTTCTTTTATGTATACATATGTATAAACAAGCTAATTTGTTTTGTACCCAATAGTCCTCTGTTATAAATTCTGTGTAATTATATCTAAACAAGTTTACAAATCCCCCCACAGGACCAATCCAGTGTCTAATTATATTTGTGCATTCCTTTGACAGCAATTACAAAACCCCAGGGGTATGAAGAGTAACATTTTCAAACATGGTACCTTCATGCCGTAAGAATTCTTTCACAGAATATATACCAAAACTAGTTGCAGTTCACAGGTATTTCCCTTGATATTAATTTGGTGTCTTATATAATAAACCAGGTATTTTTCTGAGTTTCATCTCGTGAAGCTGGAGATTAAACATCACACTATCCCTTCATGACCAAGGCCATTTAATACCTTAAACAGGCACTAAGCAACAAAATCACCACAGTGAGCTGCAGTGGTACTGATGACTATAGAGTCCATAGTAGTGGTCTAACAGACTTAACTGGCCCTTCCAAAATCGATAATCCAGAACACATCTGCATTACTGTGGCTTTCATTGCCACCGCGTGCAAGATTGTAAAGTTGCAAGGGGTGGGTTCTCTATCCTCCTGTGCAATCCAGTTCAACAAAATATCTTCCCAAAAATAAAAGGTTTTGTTTTTTTTAAAAACACACAGGTCTTGCCATTTCATGCCACAGCATACTCACCTGGGGTGAATTTCTGCTCACCACAGCTATATTTTCACTTGCATTGGCAACATTTTGAGCCCCAGTTCTAATTATTATATATATATATAAAAATAGAAAGTATTTCTATTGTATTTAATTTAGCCACTTAATGTAGGCATTTTATAACCATATCTGCCAAACATTCTGGTATTGTTCTTTTGCGTCATTTCTAAAGCCTAAAGCTGTATTCCTAACACTATAGGGGTCCCTCTAACATGGCTGAAAACAGTAACGCATTTTACAGGACTGCAGGATAACACAGAATTGAAAGAAAAGAAACTAAATCACAAGTATTTGCGCTTATTAGCTTTACTGTACGCTTAACTTGTTTAGCTTCCTAGAGTGTCCCTTTAATGGAAAATTGCTGTAGTTAAGACCATCTATCAGTTAAAGGGACACTATAGTTTCCAAAACAACTTTAGCTTAATGAAACAGTTTTGGTGTATAGATCATGCCCCTGCAGTCTCACTGCTCAATTATCTGCAATTTAGAAGTTAAAACATTTTGTTTATGCAGTTCGAGTACAACACTGACTTGGGCTCCAGGAAGCTGAAGAGGACTGGCAGAGAGAACATGGCATCAGCCTTGAGGGACAGGTTCCGATAAGTATTACATACACACACACACACACACACACACACACATCCCCTTCACCCTGCAGCCACCGGACACCCAGCAGAGTATTCAACATTGGAGGTATTTGCAAATTATTTGCAAAAGATGGTGAGAGTGCTGCTTTAAGACCAATGTGGTCCACTACACAATAAGTTGTAATTTACTTGACTAAAAGCCATCATTGCTGTACTGCCAAAGTCTGTTTACTGCAGCCTTTAAAAAATATATTTATATTAATATGCAACATATGAGAGCACAATACGTGAAAATGTGTGAAAAAAATGGAACACTGCAATAATCCCAGCAGAAATGAACTGGTCCTCAAAGGGTCAGTCATATTGCAAAGTGCATGGTTCTTAAAAGTACCCTGAGCCCTTCCTCATATTTTAGATCAGGAATTTCAAGTCCTATGCTAATAATCAGGCCTAAAAATTACCCGCCAAGCATGCATTCAATCAATCGCTTCTAATAGGAATGTATTCAATTCCATCCTTCAATGTAATGTAGGAAAACTGGTTTGGGTTGAAATAAGGACTGATCTCATAAGTGCTGTGTGTGTGGGAGATTAAAATGTAGAATTAGTTCCCATATAAGCTTTTATCACTGTAGGCCACTCACTTTCCTAAGAGTAGCATTTTGTCACATGAGTTTCACTCTGTTGTTGCTCAGGAAGCTCCTATAATGGCTGTCTGGAAGACAGCCTCTGATGGCGTGTTTAACCGTGCAATGTTAACATTACAGTTTCTCCAAAATGGCAAAGTTGTATTTACTTTGCAGGTTTAAAACTACACGGCTAGTGCACCCAAACCACATCACTGAGATGAACTGGTCTGTGTGAGTTTAGTGGTCCTTTAAAATTATCTGGTAATTTCCGGGGTGGGGGAGGGGACTGAGCAGGATGCTTACATTAATATAGCATCATCCTACATAGACTTATTTAATTAGGCACAGCCACTTAGGTATTGGTGTTCCGTTTTTATTAAAAGCTCATACCAAAAACAGACCAACAGATTGAGCTTCTTCCATCATATCCAGCTGTTTCCCGCTAGTCAGCAGTCACAACAGGTAATGGGAATCTATATAATCATGACCTATGCATACCTTATGACTTGAGCACCATATTCCATAAGCACAATTCTATTCATTTCTATACCATCTCATTCACAAGAGTACACACATTTTGAGGCTGCTGACAGGTGACGCCACCAAAAGATGGAGATTAGGCAAGTATTACTCACCATCCACTAGCCCCGGTCAACATCACAAAATTGACATGTCACCTTTGAGGTATTTGCAGATAAAATGCAAAATTCTTGCAAGTGTCAGTACAGCTTTGATTTTCCTTATATTTCTCAATTGTTGCTAGTTTTTGTGGGCCTGTTACTTTGAGGCTCAAATTCCTTTTTTAATGGCCTGGTCCCATAATAATAAAGGACAGGTTTGGACACATAACAATTTACTCAAAATTAAGTTGTTATAATGCCAGGAGGTCCCTGATCGTTTGTGAAAGGTCTAACCGCTAAAGCTGAACGGTTTACCCCAAACGTCTGTGCTCCAACACCGGAATGCTGTGCCGTCTGGTCCTTCCACTTTGTGAAATCCTAGATAAAGAAAGGCTCTGGCAGAATAGGGCAGGGGCGCCACTGACTGGCTTAAAAGAGGTCAGCTGATACTGTAAGCCAATCAGTAACTCCCTATTCATAAAAAGAGGTGAGTACCTTATTTTATGAATGAAGATTTTCTGATTGACTTAGAGCTTCAGCTGACCATCCTAAACCAATCAGCGTCCTCCATGCCTGAACTTTATGTTATCTAGGATTTCAGAAAGGGGGTCAGAGTGATCTGGCAGTGGACCAGAGATTCTCTGGTGCTATTCCCCCACTTATGATTTTTTTAAGTATGACTCCTAGCCTACCACTCTCATAATGTTGAAGTCTACTTCTGCATTATCCTTCCAAGGTTTGTGTTTGCATTATCCAAGTGGTAGGTGAGGGGGAGTAATTCATATCCTGGGGGAGAGCCTTTTTTGTCAAACAGCTTAAAAATGGTCTGACCAAAGTTAATGTGATGGGAATGGCATAATGAACTGTAGTAATTATTATCAGCAGTCCACAGCCATAGACCGCACAGTAACATGCAGCATGAACACATCATAGAGGCACATATTCATGATTCCCTGGGCAAGGACTGTCCAGCCAGACTGCGTACAAGGCAAGACATTTTCCTCCATAACATAGTTAAGTTACATGTGCCGCACTGGTTAATTGTTTGTATGCATCACTGAGCTCCACAACAATTAAACTCACATTAATGTGCAGTTTCAATGAGCAAGACACAGACAAAACTTTCAGAAAGTACAGTTATATACCTGCAGCCCTGAACAATAATGCTCTGAGTTTTACTCTGCACTGAATCTAAATGTAAAAAAATAATTAATTAAATCTAACTGTAAACAATTTGCACAACTAAATAATTTTTTTTTTTTTTTTTTTAAAGGCCATGTCCATATGGAAAATAAAATTAGAGTCTCCCCTTTACAACACTTCCTAAAACAAGGGTCCCTCTTCTTTGCCCAACATCAGTACATTGGAACCATCCCTTTAGAGTGCAAGCTCTCTGTGATAGTTTGTCATCTGTCACCAGCTAATCCCACCCACTGTGTTACCAGGTGAGTAGTAATGATGACACCAGAGCTAGCTAGACAGACAGACAGACAGAGGCCCGGATATCACCCTATACCACGTACTATATATATATATAGCTATATATCATGTACTCCCACACACATCACCTTCAGTATGTTCCATTCTAGATCAGGGTGTCTCGGACTCAGCCACAGGAACCCGAGGGCAACAGCAAAGGGGCGCCAAAAAAATCGGGTGTGTGACGTAATATCCGGGGGTAACCCCCCTAGTGACAGAATCCAGTATTTTGTCTTTTTTTTTTTTTTAGGGTAATCTTAAAATGGCGGCCGACATGTAAGGAGCTGTATGGTCCGGGTGTCCGCTCGGGCCCTGTGCGGAGCGGGCGGCCTGTTGGCGGGCGGAGGAGCGGGCGGGCCTGCGCTGCGAGGGCCGGGCGGGCGGGCCGTGCCGGGTGTTGTGGGCGATCGGCGGGTGTGTTTACAGTCCCAGGCCGCAGTGTGGGTCCGGCCGTCGCGCCGTGTTGGAGTTTCCTTTCGAGTAATGTCCCCCCCACCCCCGGATAGGGACACCCCCTCCCTCCCACGGAACACCTTTTCCGGGTGTGACTGGGTCACCGCCACCCGTTTCCTCCTCGCACAAAGCCGCCCGCGCGGCCCGGCAGCGCCAAAAAAAAAATAAAAAAAAAAATTCCTCAATATCGTATTGGTTGTAAGGCCCCCCGAGGTACAGTGGAAGTTGTAGTTCTCCTCGTCTTGTTAGGATTAGCATTACCAATAAAGTTAGATGAAGATGCAGAAAAAAAAAAAAAGGTATGAAATGAACTGTGTGAATCTTGGAAGAGTGACACCTAATGGCTGGCGGAGTTCACTACACTCGCCAATAACAGGCTGTTTACCTGAATACAGGGTTATTCTCTAAAGTTCATACCACCCAAGTGTCCATATCTAAAAGGGACAGTCCCGATTGTGGTCAGAAACCCCTCTGTTTTTCTTTAACAAGCTTAATTCCCCATTTTCTAGGAGCTTCATATGGTTGGTGTGTCTGATGTGTATAATACTCACAGTAACGTATCTTTAAACTACAATAAATTTGTTTAGAAATCCGTCTGTGTTGATCAGATACAGTTTTCTTGTTCTAAATTACATTTTAGTTCCATAAATTATGGCATACTACAAGCTTGGCCCCCTAAAATTAAAATCTCCCTATTTTTCATTTTGAAATGTTTAGTGGTATGGAATGGTTTAAAATAAATACATACATACATTTTTGAAATTGAAGCACCAACTTTTTCCAGTTCAGTTATTTCCCTCATTAAAGGACAACTATCACCACAAAAACTTTTAAAGCAACTACTTTGTCTCTGTATTTCTCCTTCGCCTGACTTTTAGACTCAAAGCAAAGTCTATGCGTCAATCCCGACAGCAGTCATCACTAACAGCTGCAGGGAATTTACCACATGACAGGAGGCTTCATATTTTGTGTTAACTTTCTTTACTTACTCCACAGCAGCAAAGAACATATAATAAAAATCACTCAGATAAGTACAAGGTCTAATAAGCACCTCCTACTGAGGTATTTCCTCTTTCTTTGCTGCTCATCACAAGTCTGGTGGGATACAGCATTCGGCACAGTGTTCGCTTTAATATGCCAGATTTGCGCGTTCACGTTTTTTATTCGCACATCGAACACTTTTCTAATGCTTCCGCGTGGTTAATGTTTGACTCAGCCCTTCATCTTTCTGAGGTAGATGAAAGGAGTACCATTAAATTGGGCAATAGTAACAACCCCTGGATGTTGGGCAAACGTAACATCCCCCAATAGGTACTTGGAAACCAGAGTAATCTGAATGTACCTTTGCCCTTTCCTGGTTAAATACGTTATTATTACTTCTGCATTCACAGTCTTGCTTGTTCAGCGATTTGCTGAAACCGTTCGCCCATTTCTTAGGCGTTCTGTTTTTTTCTTGTTTCTTATGGCTTTGCCATTCAATAGTTTGCTGTACCGTTCGCGAGTATCTCGAGCGTAGGGTTCTTTTTGTTCCCGCACTTTTATTTTGTGAGCGTTTTTTTGGCGTAAGGTCCCAGGCGGCCATTTTGTTCAGCGTTTTTCTCTGCTACTTGCTAGACACTGGTTTCAACTCTCTCCTGCAGTTTCAGGGATTCCAGGTTATTATTTAATTTTCACTGCATTATTTCTGCCTCACAATCTACCAACGACCTACTGGGACCTTGTTAAGGTTGGGGTGTGGGATGGCCAGTCAGGTTTTAATGCCCATTAGTCCAGCCTGGGGTGAGCCCCCATAATTTAGTGCTGCCGAACGGCAATTGTCTACGCAACCTCTGATTTTTTTTTCTGGGTGAACCCCAGTGTGTCACTTACTCCGCATCTCTATAATTGTTGCTTGGAAAGTACCCTAGTGTGTCCCCAGTACCGGTCCCTGAGCCTCTTTTGCCTCATTGATGTGCTGATCTGCTTTTCTAGTTCTGTTATATATTTGGGTGAACCCTATATTTTTGCCATACCAATTGAGCGTGAAATGGAAGATTCACAGCTTCCCACTGACTTACAAGCCCTTATTAACGCGACTGTGGCACCCTCAGTTGAGAAGGCCTTGGCCAAGGCTCTACTCATGGGCCCAGGAAAATACCAAACAAACAACCAAAACACCAGGAGGTGTCAGAGGAATCATATTCCTCCTCCTGGGAACAATCATGCCTGGCTAAGCGACACTGGAAAGGCGAGGGATCTAAGGCGGGCCCTTTCAAGAGCAAGGCCCCTCTTAAACATGGGAAACGTTCACACGTCATTTTATAGCTACATAATTTTTTTTGTCACTTGCACATGCAAGCCCATGCCTAGCTGTCTCTAAGGAAGATATTCCCCTATCCATCTTAGAATCAGGAAGTTCCCAAACAGCCTGCAGGCCTCTCACAGGCTGTGTTCCTGCATGCAACAAACAATGTACCCTGACAGGACCCCTTATCTCGAGAACCGTTCACAGGGCGAGAAGGAAAACACGTATGGAAGGACCAAAGAAGACAGGGAGCATGGATGTTAGCAGAATCCACCCAGGACCTTTCATCTGGACCATATCCCTTCCAATCATCCAGATATTGAAGATGACCCCGGAACATGAGAGAATCAAGACCAGACTGAATTTTATATTCCTTGACACTCAACGTAAAGAAAGGATGGAGGTACAACATGATTAGTGAACCTTTTTCATGTCAAGGACTTTATCAAGGAGACTTTGAATATTCAAAGCAGGGGCAGTTCAATATGTTCATCAATTAATGGCATTCTCTGTGAAGGAAATGTGGAGAGAAGAACAATAGTTTGAAAACCATAATTAAGAAAGAAAGGACCGTATTAAGTAGATTCACAAACCACATTCTTATTTGCAAATTCAGCCCAGGGAATCAAGCTACCTCAATTGGCCTGACGTGCAGAAATTAAACCTTTTAAATATTGTTCCAGCTTTTCATTTTCTGCTGGGCCATTAGGTTGCGGGTGATAAGTTGATGGAAACAGAGTACAGAAGGCCCTCCAGAATCAGGAAACAAATTGGGTACCTCTGTCCAATATTATTGGAATAGGTATGTCAAGTAAACCAAAGACATCTTTAGGGAATATTTCAGCGAATTCAGGTTAAGTGGGTAGCTTTGCCAGAGAAAAAAAAAAAGTGGGCCATTTTTGAAAACCCATCCATTATTGACAATATAACAGGTTTTTTTTTTGTCTGATATGTGTACACCAACAATAAAATATGTGTGACTATTACCCAATTTAATGGTACTCAGTTTATCTACCTCGGAAGGATGAAGGGCTGAGTCAACCCTGCGACCCAAGGATTGAACAGATTCTACTGATGATGCATTAGCCTACTGAGCTATCTCACCGGCTGTAATAACAAGTATGTTTGTTTAACTCTTAGGTGTTCAGGTGGCACAAACTTTACCTCCAGGAGCTAATTCTGGTGTTTGACCTGGTTTTGCTAGGATATCAGTAATAAGTGTAGACTGTATTTTAGTACTGACATTGGCTACTATGCCTTATTATTATTATCGCCATTTATATACCGCCAACAGATTCCGTAGCTCTTTACAATATTATGAGAGGGGGGATTTAACTATACATAGGACAACTACAAGAAAACTTACAGGAATCGGTTGAAGATGACCCTGCTCAAACGAGCTTACAGTCTATAGGAGGTGGGGTATAAAACACATTATGACAGGAAATATCAATCAAATAAGGTGAGAGTGAAGCAGAGCTGAAGGAGAGAGTAGAGTGCTGCCCTTTAGGAGAGAGCAAGAGACAGGTATGTAAGGTAGAGGTTACTCTGGGAGGGCATAAGCTTTCCCAAAGAGATGGGTTTTAAGGCACTTCTTAAAGGATTGAAGACTAGGGGAGAGTCTGATGTGGGTAGGCAGGCTATTCCATAGGAAGGCAGTCACCAGCGAAAAGTCCTGCATGGGTGCAAGCAGTGGACAGGAAAAGGTCACGGGCAGAGCAGAGAGACCAAGAAGGGGCATACCTATGGATCTGTGAAGAGATATAAGAGGGGCTAGAATTGTTTTGTGCTTTATATGTATGGGTTAGCACTTTGAATTGACTCCTATAGGATACAGAAGGCCAATGTAAGGACTGACAGAGGGGTGAGGTGTAAGAGAACCGACTAGAGAGGAAAATCAGTCTGGCGGCCCCATTCATTAAAGACTGTAGCGGGGCAATACAGCTTTTGGGAAGACCAATCAGGAGAGGGTTACAATAATCCATGCGGGAAATTACTAGAGCATGGAAAAGCTCCTTGGTATCATCTTTTGTAAGAAAGGGGCGGATGTGGGCAATGTTTTTGGTCCTCTGTATTATATTTATTTTGTGTTCCACCACCCTTCTCTCTATACTTCCCCACGGGTGCGTATTTTCGTGAGGTACACTATTTGTAGGGTGGTTGCACTGTTTTGTTTTGTGTTTATATATAGTACATACCTTTTTGATCCAGGATGTAAGAATTGTTCTGGACTTTGGGACAGTACAGCTCCTACTCCGGTCTCAGCAGCATCTACCTCTAGTAGGAAAGGAAGATTTGGATCAGGGTCTCAAATGCATCCAAAACATCAGGTGTCCAATTTGTGATTGGTCGAAGAGACATTTCTCCAGCTTACAGTACAATGAGTCTGTGATGTATGTCTGGCAGGGAATTTCTACATAAGTGTCATAACACGTCATTAATCAAGTCTTGGAAGAAAGCTGGGGCGTTACATAGCCAAAAGGGCATCACCATATATTCATAATTCCCATATCTGGTGTGGAAAGCAGTCTTCCATTTGTCTCTTTTTCAAATTCTGACCAGATTTTTTTGCATGCCCCTCAGAAATCCAGTTTTGTGAATACTGTGAAACCTTTCAAATAACTCTGTTCCTAAAGGAATATAATAAGCATTCCGCACAGAAGTTCTATTTAATCCTTTAATAGGTCTGAGATGACTTTTTTGGACAAAGAAAAAGCCTGCCCCTGCAGGTGATAAGGACCTTCTAATACGTTTTTTTCCCCCTCAAATTTTCCTTAATATATTCCTCTAAGACTAGATTCTCTTTGGCTGAAAGAGGATACAAAGTACCCCTAGATGACATAGTACTAGTTAATAGGTCTGCAGTGCAATCATAGGGACGGTGTAGACTCTTCCCTTGTCAAATACTTATTTGATATCAAAATGTAACACAGGAACTTCTGTTGACAAGGGTGCATGGTAAGAATATTTATAAGAAGAATAGGTTTCACATTGGTAATACACATCTGAAGACAATGCAAGATGCAATGTCTCCTTTTCCCCCCCAATCTATCAAGGGATCATAGACACACCCAAGGCCTGTATCCAGGGGAATTTAAGTGCAAGAATTTTCCGGCCTACTGGGACAAGTTAAGCGGAGATTCCTCTTCTCTCCCCCCCCCCGCCACATTTCAAACACAACCCTTCTTTTCTTCTGTATGGTTTTCAGTCTTAGTTCCATCAGTTTAGGAACGGTCAAGGCCATAGAGTCAGCAGGGTTCAACAATGCAGCCAATCTAATAGAAGTCCTTCTTGGTCTCTCTCTAGTATTTTACCTATGATGTTAGTTTATATACTGAATGTAATGAACCTCATGTACCCAGAGTGGTAGATTCGTCTGGACTCTCCTGAATTCCCGCAAGGTTCGTGTAATTAAAACCGCTCAATCGCATAACCAAACATCAGTTGAGACTAGATGAAGGGTATAAAAGATGAAGGGTACACGCAGACCACCAGCATGGGGTCTCCAGCAAAACACAGGTAAGACCGCCCAGGCATCTGTGTCTGGGAGATAAGGGAGTTTGTTTTGCTTAAACTAATCATTTCCCCAGGCACTAGAGGTACAGTGCATAATTCACCAGACACCCCCAAACATGTACAATATTAATAGGAAACCCCAGATCGGAGCGCCCAAGTTGTCCAAATAGTGTTCAGATTCCTGTAGCGTAACCGATCATCACCGGAGTAATGTTTTGACCGACCACACGTGGCTGCTGCCCAAAATAGTTCCATAAGAAAAGGGGGTAGTGGCTGGTCAATCTTCGGGAGTGAAAGGATAAATGCTGTTCTGGACTCAACTCCCCTCGATTCTCGATCCCCCGTCACCACATCAATTGATGGGAGATCTTGTTTGGCAAATAAGACACACAGACACGAAAGAGTGCTCAACAAGTTCTCAATGAGTATATTTTCAGGGCTAGCATTTATACACAGTTTGTCATGCAAGCAGTGAGATCTATAGTGTCCTTGTAGTTAATAGTACATACTTGTCGGACATGAAAAAGATAAGCATTTGGATAAAGACGAGACAGGAACATCCTAAGGTCAAGGAAGGTCATACATCCTGTAGACGAAAGACCTTGGTACAAAATACATTTGCCAAAGTCAGCATAATTATTTCAAACATTATTTTAAAGCAAGAAAGAGTTTAACTATTTCATATCCTTACAGTCAGTACTAATGATTATAAACCTTATCTAAGCATAAAATACATATGAACAAGGAAAGTTAACTATTTCAGCTTTCATCCCCCCTCTTTGAGCAATACACTTGCTCATATCATTGATAAGATCTTCCCAGGACAGAGACACTTCCACATTATGGCATTCCCAAGCAATCATGTGGTCTACAAGAAAGAGAAACTAAGCAGGAAAAAAGACACTTAATACTTTTACAGACAGATATATAGAAAATTTATGTTTAAGACAAAATGGAACTTGGGCTTATAGCAAATATATTATTGCAAGTAGCTGACATGTTAACCAATTTTAAACAGACTAACCAGCCTGTCATCTGTATCGTAAGCCCTGGGTAAATATGGGCAAAGTGTATTATTCCCAACAGTTATTTTCCTCTTTTGTCCACGGAAGTGGGCGCATATAGTCAAAGTGGGAATAATACCTATCCCCCGTTCAAGGACCGGGGTCTAGGATTACCAGTCCACCCGATGATCTGGGGCCAGGCAAAAAACCCAGTGGCAAAAACTCATATTTGAGGAAAAAGCACATCTGGGGAAAACCTGAGTGGGGGCCGCGATCGTGTTAGACATGTCATCCCCTCACAGTTGACACCACTTGTGACTTATAATACCCGCACCTGTGAGTACATAGCTCGGGTATCGGGAGGAATTGGGAAACACTTCTTACATATTAATTCATGAGATAAATTATAATCTAGCTTGAAATTCTGACAATAATAACCAGGACCTTGCGTCCTATATCTTTTAACCATTTCCCTATTCCAAAGGTCCAGTCAAAACCAGTCATATCCTCACGCAGTTCCTTAAAACATGGGAATCCATCCTTGGCACACTCAACATAAATCAAAAGAGACACATAGTACATCCATCCCTGGGTCAGCTAACACTTCCTCTCTCTCTCCGGCTAACTCTACAAAAGTAAAAATAAAAATAAAAATAGTTCAATAGTTCAGCATAGTTCAGAAAAATAGAATAAGTCTTTCACAGAGTATAAATAAATCAGTTTAGACACCAGACATTTTGTTCCATAAAATGGCTAAGGGTAGCAATATGGCTGACAACAAGACAATGTCAGCTTCCAAATAGTTCTTCTTTTGTTTGCTGGATTTTCACCACAATGCTCTGTGCAACACCCCAATGGTTGAAAGGGTTATTACAGAACCAGCGGTATTAGACAGCACTGCACCTTCAGGACTTTCCAGGTTCTTGCGTGCAAAGTTTATGTCCTCATAAGTATCTCAGTTTCTTTGGCCTGCATGGATAATGACCAAACAGATGTAATTGCAAAATACTTATTGCATGGTCAGCCGGAGAGATTGATGTGTAGTCCCAGAAATCAGGTGGCACAAACACTCCAGGACGGTCTCTACAATCATACAAACACAAGGATCAATACAACATCATTAATTAATTACCTAGGCTAAACTTAAATTAGAGACTAAAGTTAAACTCTTAACTAGTGTAACATGTACTTCTCTCAGTTTTGCTTATAATTCATTGAATTTGTCCTTTATAAAATTTGAATACATAATTTCCCTTTAAAATGCCTTGTATGGATGAGAGAAGCACTCACTCTATAGAAATGTTTGTTAGGATGAATATTAAAACACTAACATTTGCATATACATTCCCAATAAAATTTTGTTCCTAAACTTGAACCTTGATTTGATAATCTCAATTAATTACTTAAATAAAATTGGAATGCTGAAGTCTGTCAGTTTTGTGGACCCTGATAACCTCTTTGGAAACCAGTGGCCTCTGATAAGGAAGGGACAGCAAACTGTAGACATATGTTATATTAAGTTGCCCTCACTTGTCAGGTCTTGGAAACACACTTATTTTATTGCAGATGCCTCTAGGATACCACGTTACATATTGATTAAGCATACTTATTATCCTATTTTAGTTATTTCACATTGCGCAGCCTATGCAAACAATGTCTAGGTCCCAACTTCAGCTTGTACATCCTCTAAGAGCCAGTATTAATACTGTTTTATCTATCAAAACTATATATAAAGTATTAAAAACATGAACCATCTGTGTATTAGGCTGAGGTTGTTGGGTGTGGGTATAGCTTGAAAGTTATGGTTGGTATTGAGGAACCTGCCAGAGTGGGAGTCCTTAGCACCGGGTTCTCCTTTGTCTCCTTGAGCACCAGGTTCACCATTGTTACCCTTAGGTCCAGGGGAACCTTTGGGGCCCTGAGGTCCAGGAGCACCAGGGAAGCCAGGGACACCATCAATACCAGTGGGGCCAGCTTGACCAGGAGAACCGGGTTCACCTCAAGCACCTTAGGGTGAATCCCTGCTATCCACAATTAAAACAGTGCTGAAGTTACCACCTCTACAAAAGTTAGAAACTTTGACCAAATCCTCTACCTTTGCCTTTAAAACTTTTCTGATTCAATCTCCTATCACCTCCCAAATTTCTTTGTCTCGCCTGCTTAGGATCACAATCCTTGTGACTGCTACAACATACCTTTTCCTTCTTTCTTTCTATCAAAACAACCTGCTGTATCTTTCTCATGAATCTTCCCAAGAAATTCATTTGGGGGCAAAAAGGGCCAGTCACAGACCAGCAAGGAACAAAAGTGAACAAGGAGGAAGCATATTCTATATGCAGGTCGGGATTACCGAACTCACACCCCCTCTTTGTGTACCACACAGATATAATATTAATAAGCTTTTAAACGTTTAATGGATAGTTAAATTGTGTATAAAAAGCAAGGTTGTCTAGGGGTATATACATCGACAATGAAAGCATAGCCTTCATTTAGGGCTTGAAATACTGACAGTCTGTGTCATGAGCATAATGCAGACATGCGGTTAGGTACTTTTCCATTGTTATAATATATTGAAAACACTAAGACTTTGCAAAAAATTTTAAAACACATATTGCTTCCTGTACCTGAGGCCGTGCAAGGATGTAGTTAGGATATATTTCAAATTGAGTATCAAAAGTTTAACCACAAAACTATATGTTATACACTTCTTAAGAAAACAAGTTTAACCCGTTAGTGCGTACATTGGATAGCCTCTTTGCATAATTTGGCTCCTAGTGAGATTATTATATTTATCCTCTTCTGGATCTGCAAAATGCTTTCACTTTACCGATACAAATATAATACAGTAGTTTAGGAGATTAAGATTAACTCACTTATAAATTTCCGAAATTGTCTAATCTCCAATAAAAATACCATGTTATTATTACCCCATAATCAATGAGGCATTCTAGATGAATCTTACTTTGACACAAACAATGCAATATACTTTAAAAGTAGAGTTAACTCTGAGCTGGACAATACTCCCCTATTAGAACTCCTTTATGAGGGAGAGACATCTTGTCCATTCAATCCTTTTTATCAGTAAAAGAATGACTTTCAGGATTAATCAATTTGCAAATGGAAATGAAGAGCCACGATTTGAACAGCAGAAGTTTGCGGGGCCCCTTTCACGTGGGATGTAACAAGCGCTTTTCTTGCTCCAGGAGCGATAGCATACAATTGTTTCATTCTAGCCGGCTGGACAGCATTTCACCTTTTGTAAAAACACTAAATTACTCTGCTAGTTAAACTCCTACACAATGGACAATAAAATACATGAAACACATAACACACCAATTCATTTCAAACCATATAACTCATACTCAGCATCCAATGTAATATTACATGTCATCTCACAAAACAGACGTAGTAGATACACGTATCGGGTACCCAGCAGATATGCCAATACAGAAAACACATTCATGGGCACGCAACTACACACTCTGTGTCCCTCCTAGGAAACACGGGTAGACACAATATGAAAGCAGTCTTAAACTAACACCTCCAAATCTCCATTCCCATATAGCTATACCAGACCACAACACAGAGCCTCTCTGAGCTCATAGAACTACTCCAACTCAAACTACTCTTGGCCAAACCGCTAGTATTCAACAGCTAATAAAACAGTTATTTGCTAGGTTATTTGGCTGGCATTTGTATCAGTATCACTAGACTGAAACAAACTGATTCAAATATAATTTAAAACAACACAGCAACATATAAATTAAACCACTCTCCAGTTAAGCTGCACACTTCACACATTATCACAATCACCATTTACACAGAATAAACAATTAACAGCTGTACTCAGAACATATTATTGTAAGGTATACCAATTTTAGTTTGTATTAGATTTATTTTAGGAATTCTTATGCATACATGTTTTTTTTCTAATTAACGTCATTACTTTAATCTACTACAGTATTGTATATAAAGAAAGGATCCATTTATATAGCGCGCTCATAACTCAAATATTTGTCTGAAACGTCCATTAACTAATCTGAGATGATGCTGCATCAATTTTAAATCTTACAGAAATTTTGCAAACATCTGGACCAGATTACACAGACATGGTTTCACCCGAATCTTTCAGAACTCTCAGAGACTTAAAAAAATTTATACTATACCATGTTTTAAAGGCATGGCAAACCTTAGACCGGTCAGTCTCCAAGAGCCTTTGTAACACAGGTAAAAACCTTTGTCCATGAGCTCTGATCCAGGCTATATACCACAATTTAAAAGAACACATATAATGTGAGACATAGAAGACACAAAACATATGCAGTAGCTGAATCATTTAAAGCATCTGTAGCAATAAAAAGGTTAGCTTTCAGCACAAAATGAAGCATGTGTTGGACCGCTGAAAATGTAAATGTTGCTCTCTTATTTACAAACAAATCATATTTACAGTATGGATCCTTTGCAACAAACACACAGGGCAGGGAAGATGTGCTGATTGGTGTTCTATACAATTAATCCCATACGGGGAATTAACTTTCAAATACTAATGAAGTGACTTTTTGTCTCAGTTATAAAAATACTGAGCTCATCATGCAAACAATGCAACACACTTACACTATCCCACTCTCATAATAAGTGTAGTGGGCTTATGGTATTAAAGTAATAATCATAGCAGGCACACAGATCCCATGTGAAATAACTTGCAATAAAACAGAGTAATAAACTTATACTTCTATGCAACAGAAAGAATAAAACAAAAGATTTAAGTAGGTCTATCAGGTACAACCTGCGAGTCAGTTCTTTTCTAATATACAGTACTGGTATCTTTTATATATATATATATACATATATACATATACACATATATATACACATATACACATATATATATACACATATATATACATATTGGTCACTCAGGACCTGAACTTACATTTCCCATACTGCTGACTCAGGGCAGACACACTACTAACTTACCAAAGTGTGTCCCCAATACAGACAATAACCCACAAAGAACACTTAAGACAAACAAAGGTGACCGGGAGAAAGAGAAGTTTGGGGTATACTTATAGATCTTTAAACTGTGCTCCTCAGAACACCTATAATCTTAATAAACCGGAGACCTCTTATGGTCTCAAAACCTGTATCTACCTGAGATACCCTGTATCTATCTTAGATACTAACCTGGGTTACCAAAACCCTATAATAAACCGGAGACCTCTTATGGTCTCAAAAACCTGTATCTATCTTAGATACTAACCTGGGTTACCAAGAACCCCTATATATATTTAGACCAAATGTCTAATAAGCCAGAGACCTATTTACAGTCTCAATATAACTAAAGTCCTTACACCTTTCCTTTCTACTGGATACAGACTTACTGAACCAAAGGGGGTCATAGACAATTAGCGTCAATAAGACACAAAAAGGCTACTCACCCAATGGTTTTGCTGATCCCACTTCTAGACACCAAGCTGAAAGGATAAATGCTGTTCTGGACTCAACTCCCCTCGATTCTCGATCCCCCGTCACCACATCAATTGATGGGAGATCTTGTTTGGCAAATAAGACACACAGACACGAAAGAGTGCTCAACAAGTTCTCAATGAGTATATTTTCAGGGCTAGCATTTATACACAGTTTGTCATGCAAGCAGTGAGATCTATAGTGTCCTTGTAGTTAATAGTACATACTTGTCGGACATGAAAAAGATAAGCATTTGGATAAAGACGAGACAGGAACATCCTAAGGTCAAGGAAGGTCATACATCCTGTAGATGAAAGACCTTGGTACAAAATACATCTGCCAAAGTCAGCATAATTATTTCAAACATTATTTTAAAGCAAGAAAGAGTTTAACTATTTCATATCCTTACAGTCAGTACTAATGATTATAAACCTTATCTAAGCATAAAATACATATGAACAAGGAAAGTTAACTATTTCAGCTTTCAGGGAGCTCCTACACAAATTCACGCGAAGGCTCCCCCTGGCTCGTGGGGAGCAACTGTTCCCCTCGTTTGGGAGTATCCTTTGCCCGAACAGAGCGCTTCTAGCTTGTCTGTGAGAGAAGCGGCGACGATACAAGGTTCCCGGGGTTCGTGAGTTCAGGTATCAGTTCTACGCACTCGACCAAGTACCACTGCCTGCAATCGGGAGATAAAATGGCCGCTATTCACTGTAGCACGTGCATTCGGTTATAAGAAAGGTGGCAACCAAGAGAGAGCACTTGTGGTTCTCTTTGAAGATAATGAGCCAGGGGGTCGGGGAAAATGAAAATAGTTTCAGGGCAGTTTGTCACACGTGATACGCAAGAAATCAAGTACTATAAGTTCTTTGGTGGCTATCTTGTCCAATATACGATCAGACATAATTCAGAAAAACTTCAAAACGCCTGATTATTCCATTGTACTTCTGCTGATAGGACCTGAATTCTAAGGTGTAATTGACCAAGGTCTATTACCTTGTTTCAGGTGAAGGAAGGATCTGGCCGCATTAGCTTATCTATCTGGAGGATCAAATTTTCTCCTAAAAGAAATGCCAGATAATTATAGACTAAAGGTTTATCATTTTCCCACAAGGGGTTGGCCCACACCAATACCTTATCTATAACCAGGGTTATAATAAACCCTGTTGTGGCTCCATCAGTGGGATAGGCCCTAGATTGTAATTCAAAGTCGGTACTTATCTGGTTCAGAAAACCTTGACAAGTATTAGGCGCTCCACCCCGGCGTATTAGTGAAGTCCATAAGATTCAGCAAAGTCTGCAAAGCATGAGTACACTGGTCCATATGATGGTCCATACCCTTAAAACTAGAAGCATATTATGTGCCCTGGGTGTTTGCATTTGCAGGGTCCATAAGGCATTGTTGTAATTTAAATTATAAATAAATTATGATATAGCTATAAATGTATACCAAACCTAAGAGTGGCCAGGGCTTAACTCAGGGACAAGCCAGAGTCAGAGAAACCAGGAATTAGAAATAGTGAGGAGTCACAGCAGCTGGCATTTAGAACTCTGGAGAGAAGGATCATGAGGAAGTTCTCAAACAGCCTGCAGGCCTCCCGAGGCTGTGTTCCTGCATGCAACAAACAAGGTACCCAGACCTACCGGTTTTAAATAATTTAATTATTGGGCCATGGATTAACCCTGAATTCTTGGTTGCTTACTTTCTGCTGCTGCTCTTCGGTTTATTAAAATAAACTTGCAACTTAACCAAAAGCCCCTGTTCCCCCCACTTCCCCTTTGAACAGGAGGGAGTTGTGACGATCTGAATGTCGTCACTGGTTCTTGAAGGAGCCTGCTGGCCAGCCTCTTACCCTGTGACTATGGCCCCTGCAATAGACCTGGCTAAAATACTTTTAAAGGCTCTGTTCATATGAAGTACCGTATTTTTCGCTCCATAAGACGCACCTCACCATAAGACGCACCTAGTTTTTAGAGGAGGAAACCCAGAAAAAAAAATATTCTGAACAAACTGTTCCATAGTTTCTTACCATGGGACAGTTTGTTCAGAATATTTTTTTTTCTCCCCTGTCCCATAATGATCTTTAACCCCCCTTTCCTCTGTCCCATAGTGATTGTTAACCCCTCCTACCCTGTCCCATAATGTTCTTTAACCCATCCTCCCCTTGTCCATTAGTGTTCTGATCCCATAGTGTCCCCCCCTCCCATTGTCCCATAGTGCACTTTCCCTCCCATAGTGTCCCCCCCTGCCCTTGTCCCATAGTGTCTCCCCCTCCCCTTGTCCCATAGTGTCCCCCCTCCCCTTGTCCCATAGTGTCCCCCCCTCCCCTTGTCCCATAGTGTCTCCCCTCCCTTTCTCCCATATAGTGTCTCCCTCCCTTTCTCCCATAGTGTCTCCTCCCTTGTCCCATGGTGTGCCCTCCCCCCCCCCTTTCTCCCATAGTGTCTCCCTCCCCTTTCTCCCATAGTGTCCCCCCTGCCCTTGTCCCATAGTGTCTCCCCTCCCTGTCCCATAGTGTCTCCCCCTCCCCTTGTCCCATAGTGTTCCCTCCCCTTGTCCCATAGTGTCTCCTGTCCCATAGTGTCCTCCTTCTCCCAGTGTCTCCCTCCCTTTTCTCCCTATGTGTGCCTCCCTCCCTTTTTGTCCCAGTATAGTGTCCCCCTCCCCTTGTCCCATAGTGTCTCCCCTCCCTTTCTCCCATAGTGTCCCTCTCCCCTTGTCCCATAATTACTTACCTGTCTTGGAGCGTGGGCCGGCTTCACAGCGCGCTCCACGGTCCAGGAACTTCTATTTCAGGTTCCGGTTTCCGGCGGGACTGAAAGGAAGTGTGCACACTGAGTGTGCACTTCTTTTCAGTCCTGCCGGAAACCGTAACCTGAAATAGAAGTTCCTGGACCGCGGAGCACGCTGTGAAGCCGGCCCACGCTCCAAGACAGGTAAGTAAATCTTCACATTCGCTCCATAAGACGCACAGACATTTCCCCTCACTTTTGAGGGGAAAAAAAGTGCGTCTTATGGAGCGAAAAATACGGTATGTACTCTTGTACTCCAGACAGAGAGACCAACCGTTAGCACTAATTCTCTGGAACTGTTTTGGGCATGGGACCATGTGCACAGTCAGTCAAAAATAAGACTTCCAGGAAATTCCTGAATCCCTGAACTGATCAGGGCTATCAGGGGATGTAACATTTGTGGGGTTTTATGTATTTTTAGGGTACTTTTGGGATGTTTTAAAAATGTATGTTTTTTCTGTGCCTGGAGATAATTGTATTAGAATTAGTACAGTTACTGATCCAGTTATCTCCCATCCAGAGGGGAGGGAATGTGTGCTATGTGTGAGGGTGCCTTACATTGTAAATGTGTTATTATTGGTTTGTAAGTTTGTGTCCTTGTCCCCAACAAGGTCCATGTGGACGTACCTAGCTCTTCAAAGAGCTGTTCCTGCTATGCTCTCTGGACTAGGAGAGGTCTACCCACTGGAAGCTGGATCCTGGTCTTGGGTCCAGGGTGGGTGGAGGACGGCGAGACCCCAACCAAGCTGCGGCGGTTCGTTGGGTATTACGGTAGTTATGGTGTCCGGTGCGGTGCTTATAGTACTCAAGAATTACTAGAAAGCAGCAATTGATAGAGGTACCCGGTCAGGGTGCCAGGTGGTCCGTCACAGGGGCCATCTCAGGAGTTAATTTAACGTTGTGGATACCCACCTTGCAGTCAGACAGTACCATGTTGCAGATAAGATGGTGGTGTGAGGGGCCTGTTCCTCACTCTCGATGTGGGCAGAGTCCACTCTCTGTAAACTGGAAGCTTTGAGAACTTTTTTATCCCAGATTTCGAGCAGGAGTGGGAAGTTACTTCTCCATCCTGATGGGGTGTGAAAGAGACACCATTGCATTGCAACCTGCCATGTAACCTTCAGGTGCTTTTGCCTGGGGGTGTCTACCAGGCCTTGTACCCAGCAGAGTCCAATGCTTTCAAAAGGCTTAGGCCCTGACCAGCTTTCCTGTCTTGACATTTTTGGGGACTGGGACTATTCTTCAGAAATGCCCAATATTGAGTGAAAATCTTGTGTACACCTTTGTCACAGTCCTCCAGCATAGTAACTACTTAGTGATAATTCATCAAGGCTTTCCAAAGGCTGTGTCATCTAAATTTTCGCTGGTAGGCTGGTTGTCCCATGCACAGCGGATTGGCTGCTTATAACTTATTGTTTTCCCTCTACATCCCTCTGTCTTGTACAGACTTGTTTTGTCTTGATATATGATGCATAATATTCATATAATTATAAAAGAATGCATAAATGGTGAATTGTTATTCAACATAGTTTTGTGAACATCACGTGCCTCGTCTTTTAACATTTTGATTATCTTGCTGTTATTTGGCTGCCCTTTATGTTTATTTTCTTTAAAAATAAAAACAAGGAGGTATCAATTACCAGAACATAAATCAGCTATATTACATTGCTCTTTGACATTTATTATACTGTATTCTTTGTCATGCGTAAATAAAGTTGACAAAAATAAAATATAAAAATATCTCCAATTTTGCTACAGTCACAACATGATTATTTTGTATTTATGATTGTGTTTTCTGAGTTTATAATTGCAACAGAAGGTCCATGTTCCCCTACAGACCATTCATATTTTGTAATCCATTTAGGAATCCCACATGTTGTTGGTAACTGTGTGTCAGCACTGTGACTGACTGCTGACCTGGGATAGCTCCTCCTCCAATACTGTGCAATCAGCAAGGAGCCGCCTGTTCCCCGCGCATGCGCAGACCACAGCAACGCACGTAAGCGTAAGACGTCTTGAGTGACGTAATAAGACATGCCACACTATAGCCAGTTCCAGCCAATGAAATTACGGTCTGTGGTTTCCAGCCGCTGATTGGATGGCCGAGGTGTTGTTGGTGCAGTCACGCTGCCTGTGATTGGTTGCGCTGCAGTGGCCGCGGCCTGCTCCTCCTTGTTCTCTCCCGGGGACAGAAAGAGGAGAGCAGATCCCGGGGTGATCGAAGAGATCCGGCGTGGAGAGGTACGCGAGGCCGCAGGCGAGCTCGGGAAACCGAGCCAGATGTTATGAATGACCCATAGCCCTGTTAGAGATCTGTGTCAGCGCTAGACAGTGGGTTTAGGAAAACACAGAGCATGAACATTATACCGGTACCTTCCTATTGCAACAGAACAGGGGGGGTAATGTATCCTGGGAACTGGGTAAAACACAGCGACATTAACGGCAGAGACAGTGTCCGGGTTAAACACGGCGACATTAACGGCAGAGACAGTGTCCGGGTTAAACACGGCGACATTAACGGCAGAGACAGTGTCCGGGTAAAACACGGCGACATTAACGGCAGACACAGTGTCCGGGTAAAACACGGCGACATTAACGGCAGACACAGTGTCCGGGTAAAACACGGCGACATTAACGGCAGAGACAGTGTCCGGGTAAAACACGGCGACATTAACGGCAGACACAGTGTCCTGGTAAAACACGGCGACATTAACGGCAGAGACAGTGTCCTGGTAAAACACGGCGACATTAACGGCAGACACAGTGTCCGGGTAAAACACGGCGACATTAACGGCAGACACAGTGTCCGGGTAAAACACGGCGACATTAACGGCAGACACAGTGTCCGGGTAAAACACGGCGACATTAACGGCAGACACAGTGTCCGGGTAAAACACGGCGACATTAACGGCAGACACAGTGTCCTGGTAAAACACGGCGACATTAACGGCAGACACAGTGTCCGGGTAAAACACGGCGACATTAACGGCAGACACAGTGTCCGGGTAAAACACGGCGACATTAACGGCAGACACAGTGTCCGGGTAAAACACGGCGACATTAACGGTAGAGACACAGTGTCCGGGTAAAACACGGCGACATTAACGGTAGAGACACAGTGTCCGGGTAAAACACTGCGACATTAACGTCAGAGACAGTGTCCGGGTAAGACACCGCGACATTAACGTCAGACACAGTGTCCTGGTAAAACACTGCGACATTAACGTCAGAGACAGTGTCCGGGTAAAACACAGCGACATTAACAGCAGAGACACAGTGTCCGGGTAAAACACGGCGACATTAACATCAGACAGTGTCCGGGTAAAACACTGTGACATTAACGTCAGAGACAGTGTCCGGGTAAGCATACCGCGATATTAACATCGACAGTGTCCGGTAAAACATCAGCATAAACGCAGAGACACAAAGTGTCCGCAAAACACGCACATTAACAGCAGAGACACAGTGTCCGGTAAAACACGACATTAACATCAGACAGTGTCCGGTAAAACACTGTGACATTAACGCTGTATGGTGTCCGGTAAGACACCGCATATTAACATCAGACAGTGTCCGTAAAACACCGACATTAACGCAGAGACACAGTGTCCGGGTAAACCACAGCCATTAACGGCAGAGACACAGGTCCGGCAAAACACAGCCATTAACGCAGAGACACAGTGTCCGGTAAACACGAACATTAACGCAGAGACACAGTGTCCGGGTAAAACACGGCGACATTAACGGCAGACACAGTGTCCGGGTAAAACACGGCGACATTAACGGCAGAGACACAGTGTCCGGGTAAAACACGGCGACATTAACGGCAGACACAGTGTCCGGGTAAAACACGGCGACATTAACGGCAGACACAGTGTCCGGGTAAAACACGGCGACATTAACGGCAGACACAGTGTCCGGGTAAAACACGGCGACATTAACGGCAGACACAGTGTCCTGGTAAAACACGGCGACATTAACGGCAGACACAGTGTCCTGGTAAAACACGGCGACATTAACGGCAGACACAGTGTCCAGGTAAAACACGGCGACATTAACGGCAGACACAGTGTCCGGGTAAAACACGGAGACATTAACGGCAGACACAGTGTCCGGGTAAAACACGGCGACATTAACGGTAGAGACACAGTGTCCGGGTAAAACACGGCGACATTAACGGTAGAGACACAGTGTCCGGGTAAAACACTGCGACATTAACATCAGAGACAGTGTCCGGGTAAGACACCGCGACATTAACGTCAGACACAGTGTCCTGGTAAAACACTGCGACATTAACGTCAGAGACAGTGTCCGGGTAAAACACAGCGACATTAACAGCAGAGACACAGTGTCCGGGTAAAACACGGCGACATTAACATCAGACAGTGTCCGGGTAAAACACTGTGACATTAACGTCAGAGACAGTGTCCGGGTAAAACACGGCGACATTAACAACAGACAGTGTCCGGGTAAAACACTGCGACATTAACGGCAGAGACACAGTGTCCGGGTAAAACACGGCGACATTAACAGCAGAGACACAGTGTCCGGGTAAAACACGGCGACATTAACATCAGACAGTGTCCGGGTAAAACACTGTGACATTAACGTCAGAGACAGTGTCCGGGTAAGACACCGCGACATTAACATCAGACAGTGTCCGGGTAAAACACTGCGACATTAACGGCAGAGACACAGTGTCCGGGCAAAACACAGCGACATTAACGGCAGAGACACAGTGTCCGGGTAAAACACAGCGACATTAACAGCAGAGACACAGTGTCCGGGTAAAACACAGCGACATTAACGGCAGAGACACAGTGTCCGGGCAAAACACAGCGACATTAACGGCAGAGACACAGTGTCCGGGCAAAACACAGCGACATTAGCGGCAGAGACACAGTGTCCGGGCAAAACACAGCGACATTAATGTCAGACACAGTGTCCGGGTAAAACACCGCGACATTAATGTCAGACACAGTGTCCGGGTAAAACACTGCGACATTAACGTCAGACACAGTGTCCGGGTAAAACACCGCGACATTAACGGCAGAGACACAGTGTCCGGGCAAAACACAGCGAAAACACAGCGACATTTACGGCAGAGACACAGTGTCCGGGCAAAACACAGCGACATTAACGGCAGAGACACAGTGTCCGGGCAAAACACAGCGACATTAACGTCAGACACAGTGTCCGGGTAAAACACTGCGACATTAACGTCAGACACAGTGTCCGGGTAAAACACCGCGACATTAACGGCAGAGACACAGTGTCCGGGCAAAACACAGCGACATTTACGGCAGAGACACAGTGTCCGGGCAAAACACAGCGACATTTACGGCAGAGACACAGTGTCCGGGCAAAACACAGCGACATTAACGTCAGAGACAGTGTCCGGGTAAAACACTGCAACATTAACGGCAGAGACACAGTATCCGGGCAAAACACGGCGACATTAACGGCAGAGACACAGTGTCCGGGCAAAACACAGCGACATTAACGGCAGAGACACTGTCCAGGTAAAGCATAGCGATTTTTTTTAAATTTTTTTTCTTTAATTATCCAAATAATCCAGTCCTGTGTGTGTGTAAAACAGACATTCAAATTTATCGGGTGCAACATACACTTTTAGATTTTAAAGGATGTTGCTGAATTAGCATAAACTACTCTTTTCATAGTGGCATATCCACTTTGAATTGCATTTTCAATTCTGTTTGTTTTGTCCCATTAATATATGTTTATTTTCTTTTTTCACAGATTAACTGAAAACTGTAACAAGATGGCGGTTTATACATGTAATTTTATGCTTGCTTCTCTCAGATCTCGGTAAGAGTATTTTTCTACATTTCTATTGACTTGATATAGTTAGATGTGATAGCATTTTGCTCTAGGTTTATTTAGTATTTTTATGCTGGGAAATGTTGTTTTTTTTTTTTTTTCTGTCACTTTACTTGAGTTTATGAATCCAACAAAATTGATCACTGGCAAATATATTTAAAGACAGGCAGAAACTGCTGCCAGATTAGGCAGAGATACTTTTTTACCTTTTATGATTAATGTAACTGGTATAAAGTTCAACATGCATACTAAAGCAGTATAACAATGACACAAACTGTTTCAAATAGTACTCACAGCTCCACTGTTCAGAGGAAGGTCCATGAAATAACCATGGTCATGTAACAAAATTATGAATTACCAGAGATTGTTTTATAATCCCCTGATATTTATTATCCCTTATAGGGTAATAAAAGCAAAATATTACATCACCATTAATAGCAAAATGTGTATGACTGTGCAAAGCAAAAATTGATAGCTATAGTCTACATTTTTCATTGATAAACTTTTTCAAAACCTCTTTGCACCACTACTAACAGCAGACTAAATAAGACCTCAAGATAGCCAGTCTCCACCCTGGTTTATTAATTGCTGAACGATTGAAAATGTCTCTAAGACTAAGTTGTAGAAAATGTCTACTAAGACACATTAATCGCTGCCCAGAACTATGCACCAAATAAAAAAAAAACATAAAATCCATAAATGCAAATAGCAGCATATGAATGAATTGTACTAACAGATCATGGTCGCTACTATAAGATAAATATATATAATATCCTTCCTTTACTTGCGATCAGAGGGATTCTTGTCATCTTTTTAAGATTCACTAAATGTATTCATCTCATAGTAGCGATTGTGATCGATACATACAATCCATTCATATGCCGCTATTTGTATTTATGGATATTTTGTTAAATTGATTAATGACTCTTAATGAGACATTTTCAATCATTCAGCAAAATATTAACTGGGGTGGGGATTAGCTATATTGAGGTCCTATTCAGTCTGTTTTTGGCAGTGTTGTAAAGAGGTCTTGAAAAAGTTTATCAACTAAACGCTTAGAATATTTATAGCTTTCATTACTTGCTCTTCATCGCATTTATACACTTTTTACTACTCATGATGAATAAAAAAAGATTAGTTGAGTTTGAAGACTGTCTCTGTGAGTTCATGTTTTTGTTTACATGACCATAGTGTAATTGATGACAAGTGCTGGCAGGGTTTTATGGGGTATGCTCAACTCTCCAGCTGAAAACAGTTGGAAGCTTGGTATTAGCTGACAAATACTACCTACTTGTTTGTATGGGCAGAGCTCACTAAAGGAAGCTGCAAACCTTGGTGATTTACAACAAATGCAGACGCTCGACAGATGAGCATTATATTTTTTATTTATGGGCAATCAATGGGAGATTCACAGGGAAATTAACAGGAAATTAAAGTTATAATTACCCCTCCTACCAAATAGGTTGTCCTGTTTTATTTTATGCTCACCAGGCCACTTTTTAAAAAAAATGCCCAGCCAGTAGAGTTCAGCCTCTATCTAACTGCAGACAAAGTTTATGCAGCCCTATTAAAGATGACTCCCTGGGTGTACCCCTTTTAGTGACCAGGGGTCACTCTCTAGAGATGACAATGGTATATGGGGAAGCCTCTATTTTTAACATACTGGGTCAGGTTTTCAGATTTTTGGAAAACAGACTTGCAGTAAACTATTTGCATTTTTCCAGCTGGCAAGTTCATTTTTTTTCATGTTTTTAGTAAGTTTATCAGTAGTATTCATTGTTATTATCATTGGTTACTGGTATAACTTTGGAGGATTTATTGTTATAACAGTTTACCCTGTTTGCTAGTATGGTGCTTCTTTGTTACAAATTATTACTATTTATTATTTACAAATGGGTCATATTTAGAAGATTTATAGGTGAACATATAGGTAAGTCTTTCATACCCTTTGTTGGCATTCTGCTGTCTATCATGTCTCTATAATTGAGATTTATGGTCTTGCAGGCATTGAATTCTTGGGTGTTGTGAGTTCTTGCTTTTGCCATTTTGAAGTGGCAGTTGTGGTTCTTAGCATCTGGGGTTTTTATGCTTGCACAGCCCTGGTCTAACCATTTTATGCAGCCTTTGGATGATTTTCACAGACATGCTATGCTCTCTACTCGCCTAATGAGTCACCGTGAGAAGAGACTTATTGATATCCATTCAGGAAAGTTTCCATTAATTCTGCTGTACATATGTTGTCTTTCCTTTTAACAGGTTTTTGATTTTTCATACATTTTTGGTTGCCTGTTTTATTTCCCTCCCGTCAGATGTTTAGTGTGGGTATTACCCTATTGTGATGCTGCCATGGATTGACAAGGAAAATGTTGCCACACTAACTGTAATTTTCTTTTCCTGCATACACCCATGATGACATCCCTCCTTATCACTTCTTTCTTAGGAGTTTGGAATTTAGACTTGAGAACCTATCTGGTAGCAGGGCTGTTTATAGCTGTAATTTCCTAAACAGTCAAGCAGGCAGAACTAACCATACTGTGATGCTGCCATGTAAATATCCAGGAAAAGAAAATGACACAAAGCCTGTCTAAATTTTCCTTATTTTTTCGTAATTTATATAAAGTAGTATAGGGTCACGGTAAAGCAGGCATCTTTTGTGTGAAACCCTCTATTTAAATTGTGATAAGCCTGCAAGCATGAATCAAATACAGAGAACTTGGAACTTTAGAAAATATTATGTTTCTCTACAGATTATTTTATATATGCATATTACGCACACAATGTTCCACTGTAAGAAAAGGTCCTTTTGTAAAAATACATGTGCCCTCAAAATCTCTTTGCTCATTCAAAGCGTTGTAGCATTACAACATGCAAATCATTTGTACTTTACTAACTTTCATAGTCAGAAATTGACCTGTATGCAGGTGCCAAGTTGTAATTCCTTTATGGCATATAAAATATGATGGAGTTTTATATTGTAAAAAAAGCACACTACTTCTACAGATATAAAAACCTATTTGTAAGAATGTCACACTATAAGGTTACATAAGTTCCCATAAATCAAGTCTTATCTCCTTAAAACATTGAAATGATAAACATCCTAACTAACCTTTAAGCTATCTCTCAGTAATAAGGCGATCATTGCTTTATATGAAGTGAAAATAAGACCTGTTAAAAGGTCACTGTAGTCACTATAACAATTTAATCTCATTAAAATGGTCATAGTGCATCGAGTTATAGGGATTCTCTATTAGCATTAAACCATTAAAAACTGTTTAATGCTGAATTAAATAAGGATACCAGGGGACTCCAGACACTATAACCAGGTTAATGAGATGAAGCAGATACAGGGCCTACAGTGTCCATTTAATGATTTCAGCTCCCATGTACATAAGCCTAATTTTTGTAGCAACACCTTGTTGATGGTTTCTTTCTCTCCTCCTAAAATAATTATTGTACATTTTCTTTCTTTCTTTCTTTCTTTCTTACAGGGGTTCCCACCTTGTCCTACAGAAGAGCTGTTGTCCTATTTATACTTCCATGATCTGCACTCAAAATGGTGTTTTTCCCCCAAAGAAAAGGTGCTGGGCTCCTCCGACTGCAGTATACTACCCTACCATAAGTGAGCGTGTTTACCACACATCTAGATTAAATCTGCAGAACAAACCTCCTCCTCCTCCTCCTCCTCTTCCTCCTCCTCCTCCAGAGCTACCTTCAGTAGAACCAGAGAAAACTCCAGAAGTTGTGCAAAAGTCCCTGGGCCAGAAAGTGATGGCTGAGATCAAGCACTACTACAATGGCTTCCATCTTCTCTGGATTGATACCAAAGTGGCTGCCCGTATGGTTTGGAGACTGTTACATGGACAAGTGCTGAGTCGTAGGGAAAGGAGAAGGGTATGTTAAGACTTATTAGACATACCTTCTCAAAGATTTCATGTTACCTGTTAATCCTCTATATGTTATTGAAATATTTATGTTCATGCTGCTAAATATTGGTCATGAAAAGTAGGGGCAGCTGAAATTTTCAGCCGAAAATGGGCCTATCCTGTTTCGTTTAACAGACATGCTTGCATTAACAATTCAGATGATTATATATCACAATGAAAGATAGTAATGATGACAGGAATAGTCAATAATACTGCACTTGGGACAGGGGAGGGGGGAGAACACTATGGGACAAGGGAGGGGGGAAGAAAACACTATGGGACAAGGGAGGGGGGAAAAAAGAACACCATGGGACAGGAGGGGGGAGGGAGAAAAGGGCACTATGGGACAGGGGAGGGGAGGGAGAAAAGGGCACTATGGGACAGGGGAGGTGGAGGGAGAAAAGGGCACCAGGGACAGGGGACGGGAGGAGAAAAGAGCACTATGGGACAGGGGACGGGAGGGAGAAAAGAGCACCATGGGACAGGGGAGGGAGAAAAGAGCACTATGGGACGGACGGGAGGGGAGAAAAGAGCACCATGGACAGGACGGAGGGAGAAAAGAGCACTATGGGACAGGGGGGGAGGGAGAAAAGAGCACTATGGACAGGGACGGGAGGAGAAAAGAGCACCATGGGACAGGAGGAAGAGGGGGGGAGGGGAAGAGCACAGGGAGGGGGGAAGAACCTCATGGGACAGGAGGGGGAAGAACACTATGGGACAGGAGGGGAAAGAACACTATGGGACAGGAGGGGAAAGAACACCATGGACAGGGAGGGGGGGGGAAAGAACACTATGGGACAGGGAGGGGGGGGCGGAAAGAACACTATGGGACAGGAGGGGACGGGGAAAGAACACCATGGGACCGAGGGGGGCAGGAAAGAACACCATGGGACCGGCAAAAGAACACCATGGGACCGAGAGGGGGGGCGGAAAGAACACCATGGGACCGAGGGGGGAGGAAAGAACACTATGGGACGGGGAGGGGGGAAACACTATGGGACAGGGGCGGGGGGAAAGAACACTATGGGACTGGGAGGGGGGAAACACTATGGGACTGGGAGGGGGGAACACTATAGAACGGGTGGACACACACACACTATGGGACTGGAGAGGAGGGAGGAAAGAACACTAACAAAAAGGGAGAGGAACACTAGAGTCATTTTCAGTTTCGGTTTTCGGCCAAGGGCATCCTGAATTTTTTTATTTCGGTTTCGGCCCAGAATTTACTGACCTCAGTAGTAATGATAGTGATATAGTTAGTTAGTTTTATTTATAATGCCTGAAATGTACAGGACATTCCAATGCTTTACCATGGAGACATTTTATCAACTTACATATCAACTCTCTTTAAAAGAAAAAGGTTCTTGCTCATAATCATTATATGTATATAGCAATACTATTTACTAGGACAAACTAGGTGACATCACTAGATTTGAACATGACAGTAATACAAACTTTATTTTTCAGGACCTATTTCAGCTATATCTGAGTGTAATTGCTCCCTTCATTCCGAGTTAATTCATACTAAATTAAAGGAACACTATAGGGTCAGGAGCACAAACATGTATTCTTGACCCTATAGTGTTAAAACCACCATCTAGCATCCCTGGTCCCCCTTACCCCTCCTAATATAGTAAATCTAACTTTTGTTCAAGTCTGCAGCTGCTGGCACTGCCCCTGATCTACCTGCTTGACTGACATCACCAGTAGTGTGGTTTTAAGCCAATCACAATGGTTTCACATAGGATTGGCAGAGCCAAACACAGCCCTGGCCAATCAGCATTTCCTTATAGAAATGCATTGAATCAATGCATCTCTATGAGGAAAGTTCAGTGTCTGCATCTTTAGCAGCCATCTGTGGAGTGGTCAGTGGACTGTAATGTAAACCTTGCATTTTCTCTGAAAGCACAGTGTTTACTGCAAAAAGCATGAAGGGAATGATTCTACTCAAAAGAACAAATATAATATGCTGTAGTTGTTCAAGTAACTATAGTGTCCCTTTAAATAGAACAGTTGTTGATTTTAGCAATACTGACCTCTTACAAAACTCTTTCCCAAGCAATACAAAACTGACTATATTATTACTTATGATCTTGCATTGTTGTTTTTTTTTGTTTTTTTTTCCCTCTCTCTTTCAGCTAATGAGGACATGTGCAGATCTTTTCAGACTTTTGCCGTTCATGGTATTTGTAATTGTACCCTTCATGGAGTTCCTGCTTCCCGTGTTCCTTAAACTGTTTCCGGAAATGCTACCTTCAACATTTGAGACAGAATCAAAAAAGGTTGGTGATATTCTGCTTAAATATTTATTGGGGATCGACCGATATTGATTTTTTTTAGTGCCGATACCAATACCAATAGTCTGTGAACTTTCAGGCCGATAGCTGATAACTTACCGATACCGATATTCTGTACATTTACCATTTTAAAAAAATAAACAATTTCTACACAAATCTACTGTTAACTGAACATGTTTATTATTTATTTATTTGCAAATCTTTTTTTATTAAGGTAAATGCACAAAATATACTTGTTTTCAAGAATATATGTGTGTGTTTAGTGGATGCAGTGAGCGTATTTGATTACTGAATGCAGTGTGTGTGTGTGTGTAGTGGATGCAGTGTATTTTTGTGTAGTGGATGCAGTGTGTGTTTGTGTAGTGTGTGTATATAATGAATGCAGAGTGTGTGTTTGTGTATTGTGTGTATATAATGAATGCAGAGTGTGTGTGTGTGTAGTGTGTATATAATGAATGCAGAGTGTGTGTGTTTGTGTAGTGTTTATAGTGAATGCAGTGTGTTTGTGTAGTATGTGTATATAATGAATGTAGTGTGTGTTTGTGTAGGTATGTTAAGTGTGTAAAGTGGGGGAGGGGCATTTTAAATTTTTTTTTTTTTATAAATATAATTTTTTTTATTTTTTTTTTATTTTTTTTAGTGTGGGGGGATATGGCATTCCCTGGTGGTCCGGTGGCACACTCTTACTTACCTTCCCAGCAGCTCCCTTCAGCTCCCCTGTCTAACTCTCACGGCCTGTGTGCCGTGCGGAGCATTGCCATGGTAACCCATGGCAACGCTCCGACGGCCGCGGGACTAACGCAAGAGTTAGACAGGGGAGCTGAAAGGAGCTGCTGGGAAGGTAAGTAAGAGTGTGCTGGGCCCTTTTTTTTAATTGCCGATTTTTATCAACCATGGTTAAAGGGATACTATAGTCACCAGAACAACTACAGCTTATTGAATTTGTTCTGGTGAGTAGAATCATTACCTTCAGGCTTTTTGCTGTAAACACTGTCTTTTCAGAGAAAATGCAGTGTTTACATTACAGCCTAGTGATAACTTCACTGGCCACTCCTCAGATAGCTGTTAGAGATCCTTCCTGGGTCATGGCTGCCTAAAATGCTTCCAAACATTCAGTATCTCTTCCCTCTGCATGCAAACACTGAACTTTCTTCATAGATATTCATTGATTCAATGTATCTCTATGAGGAGATGCTGATTGGCCAGGGCTGTTTTTGAATTGTGCTGGCTCTGCCCCTGATCTGCCTCTTTGTCAGTCTCAGCCAATCCTATGGGGAAGCATTGTGATTTGATCAGACTACCACTTGTGCTGATGGCAGTGGGCAGGTCTAAAGGAAACACAGACAAAGTAAGCAGCTGCAGACTTGACTACAAGTAAGATTTTACTATATTTAGGGAGGCATGAGGGAACCAGGGAGGCTAGAGGGTGGTTTTAACCCTATAGGGTCAGGAATACATGTTTGTGTTCCTGACCCTATAGTGCTCCTTTAACTGTAACCCCCTCTTGTCTTCTTAAGAAATTGATATCTATTTTATCATAGAATATAGTAATAAATAAACCTGTCTCATTTTTTGAATGAGTTTATCTGAGATACAGGAGAAAGTTGTTGGTATGGTGTTGCCCCCTGAATTATGAGATGTTCCTGCATGTTATGTAATTTTCCAGGCTGTTTTAACTCCTTCTTGGTTGTTGTCATTACAGGAGGAGAAGATGAAGAAGAAGCTTGCTGCCAAACTAGAGATGGCCAAATTCCTTCAGGAAACAATATCTGAGATGGCTAGGAGGAACAAAGCTGAAACAGGGGGAGATAGTCAGCAACAGTTCTCATCTTTTTTCCAGCAGGTACATTTGTGAATCGATTTGTTCTTTAATAACTATATTTGCATCTAGGAACAGCACACTGGTAATTTTATGCCAAAAATCTTACTGAGTAGAATTAGGTTAACTTTAACAAATATCATAAAAGAAAGTGGGTCAATTGCATGTGGGCACGTACATGTAGTGGTCATGGTGCCATTAGACTGTGTGTTCTGTTTGCTGATTCTTTGTCAAACCATTTATATATTTATTTTGAGCAATTTGACCAAAATTTGGGGTCCTTACGTCTTCTGCAGTCTGGCCTTCACTTGCCGTATTTGCTCACGCAATCGTTCTTCTGTATTAGCAGGGCTATTCATTGGTCAGATTACATAGTGAAGATCTGCATTTGTGGAAAAAAGTTAAATGGTTATTCCAACCAAATAAATATAAACTTGCCAGCAATCCCACACCAAAGTCAAGTTCTTCCTAAAGCCTGGTCCTTCTCTGGTGATATCACTTCCCTTCGCGGCAGAAGGAGGGACGTCCCGGAAGGTAGGTTGAGGGATGGCCCTGCAACCATTGGTTGTCTGTCACCCACTTCCTATGCTGATTACAGGCAACCAATAACCACAAAATGTTTGTTTCAGACGGGCGGAAGATGCTGCCACAGGTGAAGTTACACCACCAGTAGCAAAGTGCTTTACTCTGTATTATTAAATTAAAGTGCTGTGCATATTAACTCCAACCACTATGACTACTTCCAAACGCTGAAAAACTCTTTAAAAATTTAATCTGTACATGTACTTAAATCAGCAGAGAATTTGTGAATTATATCTTCTCAAAGAACCCAGCTGTGGCTTATATCATTATTCACACTTGAAGGACGTACAAGAAATTGTGAACCTGAACCTTTAACCCCTTAACGCTGTTATATAATACTATGCCATCCTGCACGACGTGGGCTTATATGCTGTTATGGCAAACCAGGCAGTCCCTCTGCTGCTCTTCCGGGCCATGTGATTGCTATGACATTGCGTTCACATGGCCGGGGCAGCCGTTTGAAGCACTTTTTTTAGAAAGTTACAGGGCTAAATATAGGGCTTGCAAATTAAATTCGCTGGATTTTCTGCGTGGGTTGTTAGGCAGTCCCCCAAGTTACAAATAATAATAAAACAAAATACCTCACAAATATATTTTTTATATATAATAAGAATGAAATTATATAAATATTAAATTCTTAGTTTATTTTGAGATAGATAGATAGATATATATATATATATATATATATATATATATATATATATATATATATATATATATATCTCTATCTATCTCAAAATAAACTAATAATAAATAAATATATATATATATATATATATATATATATATATTACTCTTTTTATTTTTGAGATAGATATCTCAAAATACACTTAGAATGAAATATAGAATGACAGACAGTAGAATTTCACCTTTGGCTTTATGTGAGGAAGAAAATGTGTGCATCTGCTGTAGAAATTATACTGTTTTTGTTTGTTGGTGTGAATTGTAACCTAATTTAAAAATATAATTTAGTAGTTTTGTATTTACACTGTCTTCGCTTCCTCCAAGAGGTGGTGAATGTATTAGTTGTTGGAACCCTTTCATATTTACCCTATGTGCTTTTTGATCCCTTTGTATAATTTGCAGGTTCGAGGGACAGGGGAGCAACCAAGTACCAAAGAGATTGTTCGCTTTTCAAAGTTGTTTGAGGATGAACTGACCTTGGAGCATCTAGAGAGGTCACAGCTTGCTGCTTTGTGTCGGCTGCTTGAACTTCAACCAATTGGCACCAACAACTTGCTCCGCTTTCAGCTGCTCATGAAGCTCCGGTCTATACGTGCAGATGATGAGGTAAGGTTAAAGAAAAGAAAAACACAAACTACCAACAGACATTTTAAACATCTGTCTCGTGCTGTTTGTACAGCTCCTCCATTCACTCCAAAAGAATTCTAGGCTCCACCAAATGGACAGGGGGCATACACTATATCAATCTGTTTCTTTTCAACTGGTATAATAATAGTGTATGCCACATTTTTTGAATATGATCATTGCTCTGTGTATGCTGATCTCTGAATCCAGAATGATGTAGGGTTTGTGCTCTACCCAGGGAATGCTACTTTTGTTTCCAGTTTAAAGATTCATTTTAAGCACCAAACTAACTTCAGCTTAATTAAGTGGTTTTGTTGCATAGATCAATAGATCATGCCCACTGCTCAATTCTTTACTATTTAGGACTTCCCTGGCTATGCACAGCCTCCCCAAACACTTTCTGAACAAAGTTTTATATCCAAATGTAATATTTATTTTCATGAAAGTGTTTTTTTAAATGTGTGTTTATGTATTTGTTTGGTTCAGCTTAATTGCAGTACTTGCAGTAGAGGTAGAGAATATTGGGGGGGTTAGGGATATTTGTTCAAGTGTATTAAATAAATACATTTTTGATCTTAGCCCTTCCCTTTAATGGTGTATACTCACTGCTTAGTTTATCAATTGGGAAACAGAGCAGCATTCTCTAATCAGTGACCATATACACTGTATCATTCCACAGGTAAGAGGCACCATATACTGGGCTGTGAGTATAGTTTGTATCAATATGGAAACGGACAGCAGTGATTATTATTTTTACTGGTATTTATATAATGCCAGCTTATTCTGCAGCGCTTCACAATAAAAGGGGAATTTACCAAATAAGACAATAACAAAATGTAACAGGAACAATAGGTAGATGAGGACCCTGCTCAAACAAGCTTATGGTCTAGAGGAGGTGGGGTATAAAAACACAATAGGAAGGGTATTGAGATAGACAGCAAATAGACATAGTGGGAAAGAGTGGTGTGTGGCCCTATAGGAGAGAGCGAGAGGAAGGTTTGAGAGATAGAAGTTACTCTTGGAGGCCAAAAGCATTCCTGAAAAGATGGGTTTTGAGGGACGTCTTAAAGGATTGAAGACTAGGGGAAAGCCTGACAGGAGTAGGCAGGCTGTTCCAAAGGAAAGGAGATGCCTGTGAGAAGTCTTGCAGGTGTGAATTTGCGGTAAGGGTGCGAGCAGCAGACAGGTCACCAGTACAGCGGAGAGACCGAGAGGGGGCATACCTATGAATCAGTGAAGAAATGTAAGAGGGGCTAGAGTTGGTTAGAGCTTTATAGGTAATGGTTAGTATTTTGACTTGACACCTGTAGGGTACAGGAAATCAGTGTAAGGATTGACAGAGAGGTGAGGTGTGAGAGGAGCGACAGGAGAGAAAGATCAGCCTGGCAGCAGCATTCACCACAGATTGTAGGGGGGCAGTACTGCTTCTGGGGAAACCAACTAGGAGAGAAATACAGTAATCGATGCGAGAGATTACTAGAGAATGAACCAGCTCCTTGGCATCATCTTGCGTAAGAAAGGGGGTATGAGGAGAATGTTTTTAAGTTGGAATCGACAGGTTTTAGCAACAGGCTGGACACGAGGCGCAAAGGTGAGGCCAGGATCAAAAGTGACACCAACACAGCAAGCTTGAAAGGATGGGGTGATGCAAGTACCGTCAACCTGCAGGGACAGTGAAGGAGGAGGAAAAATTCATTGTATGCGTCTTGCTGACTGTGAATGTTACTATCCATGCTGCTATCTGACTTTTTTAGAATACTACATTCTACTGTAATTACCCGGTTTATGAAACAGTGAATGTATGAAAATGTCAAAGTAAGATGAACCAGTTGCTAGTATGCCTCATTGAGTATGCACAGATTATCAGAGAATGGTTGCTGAAAAGCAGAAATCCTCACTTCTTTCCCTTGCCCTTTACCGTAGATGATCGCTAAGGAAGGTGTGAATAACCTTACTGTGGTCGAGCTTCAGTCTGCAAGCAGGACCCGCGGAATGAAATCTTTGGGCCTCACTGAGGACCAGCTCAAGGAGCAAATGAGTCAGGTATTTTAGACAATTGGTATCACTATTCATTCATGCTAAGTCATTCAGCTTGTAGTAATTTAAATTACACCTGTATGTTGTTGGACTGTATTGGCACATAAAGAATATTCAGTACTGCATGTTCTCTATCAGTCGATAACAGTGATGGATAATATTTGACACCGCGGCTGTGTACTATATGTTTTGCCAGCCAATTATTAATGCTGTGATGCTCAGCCAGCCAGCCAAATGTTCACACAAATAATCATTCCAATTTCCAATAAATCTGCTAATCTAAGCTACACTTAATATATCATTAAGATATACTTTGATCCAGATATTAAAATTTATTTCCACTTCCCCAGTGGCTGGACCTGCACTTGAAAGAGAATGTTCCTCCTTCTCTCTTGCTCCTCTCTCGAGCCTTTTACCTCACGGATGTAAAACCCAAATCAATTTTGCCAGTGAAACAGACTGTGGAGGTAAGCCATCAAGAGCAATACATTTTTTTGGGATGCTTGAACTTTTTTGAGTACATTTTGTTTAAAAAAATAAAATAAAAAATAAAAATGTATCCATCTCTGCTTTTCTTCCCCTCTAAACACCCTATTTATATGTTTATACTGTCCTCATGTTTATAGTTTAGAGCTTCACCATGGTGGACAAACAGTTTTATTGTTTTGTTTTTTTTGGTTTGGCAGGGTGTTATTTAGGTCCCAGTGAGGAGCGTTATGGTATATAAGGGATATGTTTGGCAGAACATTTAGTAAAATACTCTATTCATACTGTTCCTTGTGGCAGGAAGTTTGGGATCTTAGTTTCAACTGTGTGATATCCAGTTATTTCACCAGTCAATAGACCTTTAATTGGATAAACAGTGTTGGGGATGTCTTAATGCAGAGGGGACCTTTCTAAACATTTGCCAGAATTGCCATTTGCTTTGGCCAAACATATCACAAATACACACAATTATAAAAAATAAAAATAAATCAATTATGACAAATCCCCCACCCAAACATGCCCCTCTGTTATTGCACAACCTAGCCTTCATATATAAAAGTCTATGACGATAAGGATCTGTAAAGTGGCAAAGGAGCCGGTACCTCTCCTTTGGAGACAGACTAGCAATTGACCTCTGGGTCTGTGGTTCAAACGCATAGACAAATCCCCAAACCTTAATTCTTTGATTTCTATAGACAAAGAGGGTACTACGCAAAAATAATAGGTCAGAGGGAATGGTTTGCCCAACCCTTCCTGTAGGTACCTAGTGCATGCATTATTATAAACGTAAGACTCTGAAAGTTTAACCGTAGAGGGAGTTAGTTTTTTGTTTTCTGTTGACAGTTTAAAGAATATTTTATTGATGGTAGTGGCTATTGCCAAAGTTTTGCCTTGTTTTTATTTTTTGTTTTTTATTGGACGGTCACTACTAGAGATAACCAAAGGTTACATTTCACTATTGAAAGTGTTGTGTGTAAAACTGTATTTGACCTATCAAATGGACCTTGAGACTGTATTTCTCTTTGAAATTGAATAACAATTTTGATTTAGATACTGTTCCTGGTTTGAAAAAGCACAAGCATTCCTGTAATGTTACAAAATGCATTGAGCAGACGTGGAATCATAATACATATTGTGATAACAAGGGAGCCTTTGGTTGTCATCATCAAAAGTCTGTTTTAAAGTCTGGGGGCTGACTCATATTATGAATGCATGGCGTCTCTGTTGCTTGAGTGATTGCTCTCATATATCAATTACTTTGAATAATAGATATTTATTGAACAGAATTGTGGGACTGTTCGCCCCCTAGTGTCTTGTAGTGTAATTTACCTCCTTATTTACACATCTCCAATGCTTTGTAATCCTGTAAACAACATTTGCTGTAACCCTCAATCAATGTTATATATGCATTCCTTAGGTCACAAAGAATACCTCTCCTCTGGCCGAGCCCACAGACACTGCGGATAAACTAAATGACCCTGCTCCAACTGTGAAGGGTGTAGAGGTAATTATTGCTCAGATTTCTTCTCCTTCATCCACTATCATTTTTATTATGGCAACATTACACCATTTCTAGGGCAACAAAACAAAGCATTTTATGTATTTGTTATTGGTTTGTTTGATTATTATTGGGTTTTTTTGTCCACAATTGCACCAGTTTATCTTGCTGCAAATCAATCTTTCTTTCCTAGTGTATGCATGTACTGTATTTGAGTAAATGGTATTTCTAAGACAGAAAACTATGATCTGATTTCTGTGATTGATATCTGAATTTGTTAAAGGGAGGGACAATCCAGGCTAGAACGGAACCACATTTGTACTGCATTACATATATGCAAAATATAAAAATAGTTTTAAATCAAATCACTTACCTACTGAAGTTTTGGCATTTGTAAATCAGCAGGAGTTTCAGATTCCAGCCCAAAAATGGTACTAGTTGATAGGATTTATTGATTGATGTCAAAGTAAAGACAAATAAGTCAATGGGACCTGATGGAATACACCCAAAGTTATTAAAAGAGCTTAGAGGTGTACTAGCAAAACCATTAACAGCTTTATTTAACCAATTATTCTTAACAGGAGTAGTCCCAGAAGATTGGAAGTTAGCGAATGTTGTGCCCATTCACAAGAAAGGAAGTAGGGAGGAGTCGGGCAACTATAGGCCAGTAAGCCTTACTTCAGTAGTGGGGAAAGTAATGGAAACCATGTTAAAGGATAGGATTGTTGAACATCTAAAAACACATGGATTTCAAGATCAGAGACAACATGGGTTTACTTCAGGGAGGTCATGCCAAATTAATCTTTGATTTTTTGATTGGGTAACTAAAATAATAGATCAGGGTGGTGCGGTAGACATTGCTTACCTAGATTTCAGTAAGGCTTTTGACACTGTTGCACATATCAATAAACTGCAATCTTTAAGTTTGGATTCCAATATTGTTGAATGGGTAAGGCAGTGGCTGAGTGACAGGCAACAGAGGGTTGTAGTCAATGGAGTATATTCGAAGCTTGGGCTTGTCACCAGTGGGGTACCTCAGGGATCTGTACTTGGACCCATTCTCTTTAATATTTTTATTAGTGATATTGCAGAAGGTCTTGATGTCTTTTTGCTGATGATACTCTGATATGTAACAGGGTTGATGTTCCAGGAGGGACAAGCCAAATGGCAAATGATTTAGGTAAACTAGAAAAATGGTCAGAGTTGTGACAACTGACATTTAATGTAGATAAGTGCAAGATAATGCATCTTGTTTTAAATCATGAGTTGTTGTTTGTACAAGTTTATCATAGCATGTTGTAGCCTTATAATATGTTACACGTTTCATTTGGTATCTAGCGCTCACCGCTCAATGTTATCTTATATGTACTCTGCACCGAACTATGCAACACATGTGGCTGGACATTTATACGGGCTAATGGTCTTTCAAGACAAAACAATCCTTTCATAACGCACAGCCTGATGTAGGCCTGTGTTAACGATGCAGTTCTGGTAAAAGGAGATACATACTACCTCATTATTAAACATGCTATTAAATATTCTGTACTCAGTAGTAACGTGAACTATATCTCTTTTGTGGCCAAAGCGGTGCATTTGTCTGGCATTGTGTGGCCATGGTAAATCATATTTGTTAGCATTATGATAATGTTTCCTTATTTGCACAATAGGTATGCTATGAAGTAGATATACAGATTTTTTTTTTTTAATCTTTGTTTTGATTGGGTTACTAAAATAACAGATCAGGGTGGTGCAGTAGACATTGCTTACCTAGATTTCAGTAAGGCTTTTGACACTGTTGCACATAGAAGGCTTATCAATAAACTGCAATCTTGTAAGTTTGGATTCCAGTATTGTTGATTGAATGGGTAAGGCAGTGGCTGAGTGAAAGGCAACAGAGGGTTGTAGTCAATGGAGTATGTTCGAAGCTTGGAATTGTCACCAGTGGAGTATCTCAGGGATCCGTACTTCTATTTAATATTTTTATTAGTGATATTACAGAAGGTCTTGATGGTAAGGTATGTATTTTTTTGCTGATGATACTAAGATATGTAACAAGGTTGATGTTCCAGGAGGGATAAGCCAAATGGCAAATGATTTAGGTAAACTAGAAAAATGGTCAGAGTTGTGGCAACTGACATTTAATGTGGATAAGTGCAAGATTATGCATCTTGGATGTAAAAACCCAATGGCAGAGTACATAATATTTGATAGAGTCCTAACCTCAACATCTGAGGAAAGGGATTTAGGGGTAATTATTTCTGATGAGTTATAGGCAGGCAGACAATGTAATAGAGTAGCAGGAAATGCTATCAGAAGGTGTGGTTGTATAGGGAGAGGTATTAGCAGTAGAAAGAGGGAAGTGCTCATGCCATTGTACAGAACACTAGTGAGACCTCACTTGAAGTATTGTACGCAGTACTGGAGACCATATCTTCAGAAGGATATTGATACTTTAGAGAGAATTCAGAGAAGGGCTATTAAACTGGTTCATGGATTGCAGGATAAAACTTACATGGAAAGATTAAAGGAACTTAACATGTGTAGCTTGGAGGAAAGACAAGACGTAGGCATATGATAGAAACATTTAAATAGATAAAGGGATTCAACACAGTAAAGTATATTTAAAAGAATAAAAACTACAACAACAAGAGGACATAGTCTTAAATTAGAAGAGCAAAGGTTTAAAAATAATATCAGGAAGTATTATTTTACTTAGAGGGTAGTGGATGCATGGAATAGCCTTCCAGCTGAAGTGGTAGAGGTTAACACAGTAAAGGAGTTTAAGCATGCGTGGTATAGGCATAAGGCTAGCCTAGCTATAAGATAAGGCCAGGTACTAATGAAAGTATTTTGAAAATTGGGCAGACTAGATGGACCGAAGGGTTCTTATCTGCCGTCTCATTCTATGTTTCTATAAAAGTTCCCATTATCGTTAATGGGTAAATGCTTGTTCAACAAAAGCTTTGGGTTATGCAATTAGCAATTCCTTTCATAGAAAACTTTAAATGGAACTGCAATCCATGCTGCCTCCGTGTTGCTGATTGGAAGTAAAGATATGGCCGCTGTCTGGTTACAGAAAGCTATTATGAAGCAACCCTGACTTGTGCAGACTTGCTTGTCTTGCTTGAGGCCTGCAGGCACATGCTATCCAAGCACTTACATAGTCATACGGCAGGGGTAGGCAACCTTTGGCACACCAGATGTTGTGGACTAAATCTACGGTGCATTAGGGGAAATGCAGTCCACAACATCTAGAGCGCTGAAGGTTACCCATGCCTGTTACGTCTTCTTGTGATAATTGGGGGGGAGGGGGAGGGGCATAACCAATGCATGGAGTATGTATGGCGCTTTGTTAAATTTTTTTGGGTAACTCTTTTTTTTTTTTTTTTTTTTTAAACATTTCTACAGGGTGAAGACCTTTCGGTAAAACCTCCCTTAAGTAAAGCTGTTGATCAGTCAAAAGAAAAAGTAAGTAAAGCAAACTGAGTTTCCACTATGACCTGTCAAAATATGTTTTTTTTTTCCTTTGTTTTCAGTGGTTATTACCTGTCACTTTTGTGCATAACCAGGAAAAATATTATTTTATATTTAATATGTATTCTAACATTCTGCACAGTATTCCGCCCTAACGGCTTTTAAGCCCACATTGTGCTGGGCACATAGTATGCCGTAACAACATTAAAGTGCTACTGTTGTCTTTGGTGCTACCTTCTTTCCTCAGCAGCTCCTGACAACCTTGCCAAGATTTACTAAACTTCATGTGTTCCTGTGTGATTTTCTCACAGGAGTGAAAATACAAAATGGTCCCGCATGGTAGATCTTAAAATAATATGTGTAGCTGTTCCTTCAGTAAATTATTCTGACCTAAATAGATGGCCTACCAATTTTGAGTACAATTTTTAAATATTATGGATAAAAAAAACAAAAAAAAACTAACACAATTAAGTCAAAGTTGACATTTTTTTTTATTTGTTTGTATGTATGTTTTTTTTTTGTTTTTTTTTGTAGGGGTGGTTTAAAGGGATACTATAAGCATTACAACAACTTTAGTTATTGATGCAGTTTTAGTGTATAGATCATGCCCATGCAGTCTCACTGCTCAATTCTCTGTCATTTAGGAGTTAAATCACCTGTTTCTGTCCATGCAGGCTTAGCCTGGGTGACTCACACAGCCTGCATGAGAAAAATAATTTAATTTTCAATCAATTGTTAACTTTCTTTAGAAGTTTTTATCTCCTGTTATGTAATTTAAACTTTAATCACACACCGGATAGACCTACTAACTGACCAGGATTAAAGATTAGCAGCTATCGTGAAAGTTGACATTGTAAAACTGGTCATTATGTTTTATTATTCATGATTTATTTTAATTTTCTTGAGTTATCTTGATTACACATTTTTCTTCCAGAAGGCTAAAGCCAGTGCTAACGGGGTGTAGGTTCAATGTGTGGCTGGAATCACAACATATCCAAAGATCTGGCTGTTCATACTTTGGAACCAAATCACCAAGAGGAAATGCATTCTTACATCTTCTCTCCAATAAATCCTCCTGCAAAATATGCCTTGTAACAGATCTACTTCAACTAATGACCACTACGGTAAAAAGTGTTTAGAGGATTGTGACATTTTCAGTGGAGCTGCCTTTGTTCCTCTATTTAAAGGTGCTGAGTATTGCTATACAGTTTGGACTACTAGCAGTGAACTCACTGTGATTTATCTAACATGGATTTCTCTCTCTATTTAAAGTCCAGTGCACCAAGTAGAAAGGTTTTTGTTTGACACTGTGTACTTCCAAACCTGTATGGACAATGGGAATATGATAAACTGTATAGTGATCAAAATATTTTGTGTACAGAGTCTGGTTGCATATTTGGGCAGCATGTTTATTTTTATAAAATGTTTAAAGTCAATCAAAACCCTAGCCATTTCCAAACACATGAAGTAGAAGCTGCTTTTATGTAAATGAACTCTTTATATTTGTCTTAACTTATACTTTATGTAAATATGTACATATGTTTTTAGATCATGGAAGTTTAGAACATTGTACATTTTACACTGATTTGATATTCTTGTATGAACAGTGTTCCTAACGTCTGTTATAGCACCTTAAATATAAAATTCCTTTATTTCCTTACTATCTTCAAATTAGCTTGTGTATGACTCCACCATTTAAAAATAAGCTAACATTTCCAGTCCCATGCCAGAAGCACCTATTTGGACGAATTGCACAGCTGATGGTAAATGTTATTGGAATACAATGTTTGCCTTTTATTTGGAAATGGATCAGGCATAACAACGTTCATCCATTCAGTACAATAACCATTGTTCTTATCAGAACTTGTATCAAATCTGTGGTGTTTGTGCTTTTTTTGGTAATAAAATAATTTACCATTTTGTTTGGATTTATCCATTTAAAGAGATTGCTGTGTAAATAAATACAGACTAATCTCATTACATTATAAATATGTGTGTATGTATATCTTTTTTTTTTTCTTTTTTCTTTTCTTTCCCAATCAATGGTTTTCTAAAATGGTCATTCTCACCCAGGAGGCAAATAACTCAAAAATATTGCATGTGGTTGATGTACCTTAGTTGCTACACATATGCTGGGTTATGCAATAAAATATTATGAATTAAAACATTTTTAGGGCAGATTACATAAATGATTCTGCAAAACATTCCATTTATCTATTTTGCGTTAAAATTTCATAATGCAGGCAAAGACTAGACATTCGTTACCTTTTTGTAGGCAGCTTTTTTGGCAATGCAAGTTTCAGCTCATGAAGAAATCTTTCTCAAGCTAATAAAGCTGACTGCTATAAGTGTGTGTCAACTGATCGATGTGCCTGGTCTATTAGCACCATTGCCCTATTACTAATTGTCTTTGTATACATAAAAAAAAAAAAATTTGTTTTCCTTACCCTAAATTTCTTTTTCCATAGTCCAATCGACAGTCATAACAAGTGGGATATAGTTGCCTATTTTTTACAGGACAGGTAGTCACATTGAAAAGGTTAAAACAACAAAATGCAGTCCCATCCCCCAGTCTCCTCTCCTCCTAGCCTTATAAAGGGCTACTCCACCCTGAGCTCCCCAGTATATAACAAGCCAATAGAAGGATATAGGTTTAAATTTGTTTTGATCTATAGTAGAAAGGAGGGAAATCATGACTGCCGCTTGGACTGTGGAAAAAGATATTTACGTTACGTAAAACTTAGGTTTTTCCAAGCGGCAGTCATAACAAGTGGAATGATATAGCAAGATAAAAACACAGGGCGGGAACAATATCACCTAGAGAACCCACAATACAGGAGCCTGTGGATTATGGCTCCTGAATCACAAAGAATACCATCCCCAGCTGATGGGACTGCCTACTGGAGTTATTCCAGAGCCGCACGCGCATTAAAAACCCCATAGGAAAGCATTTCTCAATTCTTTCCTATTGACGTTCTGCATACTCAATATGATTTTCGTCGCATTGAGTGTCACAGAAGCGCCTCTAGCGGCTGTCAGGAAGACAGCCATTAGAGGCTGGATTAACCCTGCAATGTAAACATAGCAGTTTCTCTGAAATTGCCATGTTTACATCTGAAGGGTTAAAACTTGGGGGACCTGGCACCCAGATCACTTCAATGAGCTGAAGTGGTCTGGGTGACTATAGTGGTCCTTTAATTACAATAAATTGGTGGCCATGTCCTTTCATCTAACAAGCCCAGATAGGGTACTCATCCACAGCCAATACCACTTAAAAATAGACACTGAAGAATTCACGTGTCTGGGCTTACCTTTCCTAGATTTTGACTTCCCCAACTCAAGGGTGGGAGGGACCCAGGGAGGGACCCGGCGGAGCTGCTGGCTACTTACAAATTCGAGATTTTGCAATATTGTAAAGCCCTGCAGAATCTGTTGGCGCTACATAAATGGCAATAATAATAATATAAATTTGACGTGACCCAGGTAAAGTGAGTGGAGGTTATTAAAAGAAACTAAGAAAACAAAATGCTCACTATGGACATTAAAGGGACACTATAGTCACCAGAACAACTACAGCTTATTGAATTTGTTCTAGTGAGTAGAATCATTACCTTCAGGCTTTTTGCTGTAAACACTGTCTTTTCAGAGGAAATGCAGTGTTTACATTACAGCCTAGTTATAACTTCACTGGCCACTCCACGGAAAGCTGTTAGAGATCATTCCTGGGTCATGGCTGCCTAGAATGCATCCAAACATTTAGTATATCCTCCCTCTGCATACAGACACTGAACTTTCCTCATAGAGGTTTATTGATTCAATTCATCTCTATGAGGAGATGCTGATTAGCCAGGGCTGTGTTTGAATCATGCTGGCTCTGCCCCTGATCTGCCTCTTTGTCAGTCTCAGCCAATCCTATGGGGACGCACTGTGATTGGATCAGGCCACCACTTCTAATGATGTCAGCAGACTGCTTGCTTTTCTGAGTCTAACAGCATGCAGAGTTACAGCTATAGGCTTGAATACAGTACGATTTTTACTATATTTATGGAGGCATGAGGGGCCCAGGGGGGCTAGATGGTGGTTTTAACACTATAGAGTCAGAAATACATGTTTGACCCTATGGTGATCCTTTAAGTAAAAATAAAAAGCTATGAATTTCTAATACCAGCAAGTCTGGGTTTCATACTAGACAGGAATACACATCCTAAAATTGTTATATGTATAGTCTAAAATATAAACCTAGGAAGAAAAAAAAGATTTGATTGCTTCAAGGGAGGAACTACACCTATTATCCAAAGCACAGCTAAGATGGAACTTAGAAATCCACAGAAGGGCTCACAGGCTGCTGCTTAAATGCTCAGAGGCTGACTTGGTAACAGTCACTATAGAAAAGAAAGAGATAGACTTAGGACAGCCTAGTGCCCAAGTACCGGAACTCTTGCTTTTCACCTGACCTGAATCTGACATATTAGAAATGTGAAATAGGGAATCAATTAAATGTAGGTGTAACTCAATTGTATTAGTAGATAACAATGTATCCTTTATAAATCCAGGCCAGCATAGAAAAAAAACATTCATCCATAACAGCCCTGGAATTTGATTTTAGATACACCTTTCATAAGTAGAATAAAACTAGATCTAAAATTTACATAGCTGAAAAGAGACTTGTGTACATCAAGTTCAACCTTCCTCACATTTATTTTTTGCTATTGATCCAAAAGAAGGCAAAACAACCCAATTTGAAGCACTTTTAATTTTGCAACAAAGTAGGAAAAAAAATCCTTCTTGACCCCAGAATGTCAGTCAGATTAATCCTTGTATCAAGAAGCTATTACCCTACATTGAAAAATTATAACCTTAAATATTCCTTTTTTGCAAGTATCTAGTTGCTGTTTAAACATATGTATGGACTCTGATAAAACCACTTCTTCAGGCAGAGAATTCTACATCCTTATTGTTCTTACAGTAAAAAAAAACCTTTCTTTGCCTTAGACAAAATCATCTTTCTTCCAGTCTAAACGCATGACCTTGTGTCTTATGTAAAGACCGATTTGTGAATAGATTTCCACACAATGGTTTGTATTGGCCCCGGATATATTTGTATAATATTATCATATCCCCTCTGAAGCGAAGGTTTTCTAAACTAAATAGGTTTAAATTTGTTAACCTTTCTTCATAGCTGATATGTTCCATTCCTTTCATTAATTTTGTAGCCCGCCTCTGCACTTTTTCTAGTGCCATAATATAGATCAGCGGTTCCCAAAGTGTGGGTCGCAACCCACTGGTGGGTCGCAGTGTGATTCCCAGTGGGTCGTGCTGACCCACACATGCAGGGCCGCCGGGTACTCAGGAATGCAGAGTGATTAGTTGGGCTCTCGGTCCGTGACCACAGGCCTGACACCAGTGCAGAGCTGCCGACTGTGTGATAGAAGTCTCGCAAGCACCCAGAACGTTACCATGGCAACACTGGGAGCTCACAAGACTTTTATTACACTGTCTGCAGCTCTGCACCCGGTGGAGCTGCAGACCGGAGAGGTAACCCACCGGACCACCAGGAACACTGGACCACCAGGGATGTTTAATGAAGGTAGGGCACAGAGCCCAAACAATGCCCCCCCACCCATTGTAACCCCTTCTCTCCCTGCCCCCCCACTGTAACCCCTTCTCTGCCTACCCTCCCCACTGTAACCCCTTCTCTGCCTACCTCCCCACTGTAACCCCTTCTCCTCTCCCCCTGCCCCACTGTAATCCTTTCTCTGCCTACCCTACTGTAACCCCTTCTCTGCCTACCCCCACTATAACCCCTTATCTCCTGCCTCCCTCCCCACTGTAACCCCTTTACTCCCTGCCTCCTCCCCACACTGTAACCCCTTCTCTCCCTGCCCCTCTCCCCACACTGTAACCTTTTCTCCCCTTGACCCCCACTGTTGCCTTTTCTCCCCCTGTCCCCCCCACTGTAACCCTTTCTCCCCCTGCCTGCCTACTGTAACCCTTTCTCTCCCTGCCTGCCCACTGTAACCCTTTCTCACACTACCCCCACACTGTAACCCTTTCTCACACTGCCCCCACACTGTTACCAGTGCACACACTCCTAACCACACTGTCACCCTCACCTCCTGTCTCTGCGTGTCCTTTTGTGTCAGTGTGTGTGTGTATTTGTTTGTCTGTGTGTATCTTTGTACATGAGTGTCTGTGTATCTGTGTGTGGGAAACGAAGTGTCATTATGTGTATCACTGTGTCAGTGTGTGTATTTGTGTGTCTGTGTGTGTGTATACACTGCACACATACTCCATACAAAAAACATGCTTACATTCAAAAACACATGGTGTACATGTATATTTTATAAACACAATATACACACACTGCATCCACCACACACACACACACTGCAATCAAACATTACATACAAACACACCCCTGCATTAAAACACTAAAATGATCTACAAACACCCCTTCATTCAAACACCAACACTACACACAAAAAAGCACACCTGCATTTAAAGTCCTACACTACATATACAAACACCCCTGCATTCAGACGCAAACATTACAAACAAGTACACCACTACATTCCATTGGCAACAGTACATACAAATACACCCATACATGCACACATATACTTAATACAAAACCATGCTTACATTCAAACACTGCTCACAAATATAACCCTGCAATGGTAGATCTCCATCTGGCATAGCATTGTTAAAGTTCTCCGACAGATGGAGATCTACCTTTTGGCCACACTTTCACTAGATTGGGGCCTAGAAAACATACTTGCACCAGGGTTCTCTCTACATTAGTTCCACTGGGATAATCAACGTGAGGTGCCTGGATGAAAGAGCAGGACAACAGCATTTCTGATTGAGTCTGTGAGTAAGCAGTTTGTATGTCTCTAAAACTGATTGCCATGATGTGTAAAGTTTCTGCCTCTAAAACTGCCATGATAGATCAAAATTATGCCTCTAAAACTGCCATGTTA